GTTAGTGATAAGCTTGGTGCTGTTGGTTTAGCTGAAATAATTTATTCTTTCTTAGGGATTTTCCCTCTAGTAGAAAATTATAAATTTGCAACACTTTTGCAGCTTTATTTTGTTTTAAATAGCTCAGCTATTTTCATTTAACAAACCAGTCATTTAGTTCATTCATGAGCGGCTGCATTCTGTCATGTAGAGTCCAGCCCTGTTTTTACAGCCTGGGCAAACAACCGTTAAGGCACTCTGTCTGAGCTCTGTGGCTTTATCTCCCCCTGTTTTCCTATTTTCTGTTGGCTAATGGTGGTGGGTTTCTTTTGGCTTCTTATCATCATGACATGTTTGACTCTAGAAACTTGCTGACTTGTTCCCAATCCTTTTCCCTCAGTGGTTGGTGCCGATCAATGTTGAACAAATAAGTGGTAGACACTGGAATGAGTCTTTTGATGGCAGTGACATCACTGAACTAAGCCATTTTTCTATGCACTCAGTAATTTCAAACATCTTTCGACACATCATAACTCCCATTTACTGCTCATTACTTGGATAACACTCAATGTGCTGTACAAATAAACCTGTTTGTCTGGTATTTGACTCAAAACCACACCTGCTGACATTTTAGGAGTCCTCCTTTGAAGATTATTTTAAGGTCAGGTGTATTAGCCATTAAGACCTTTAACTCCTGGTTTTACCGTGGGTTTTTTTTTTTAGCCCTGCTTCATGTGGTATTATTGACCTTTGTGATTATTTGCAAACATTCAGCATGTTTTATTTCTGGAAAGTTTTTATTCACTACATTCAATGCTTAAACTCTGTTTTTGCTCCATTTCTCTCTGTCTTGGCCTTCCTATACACATTTTTTGGCATTATTCCTTTCACTCTCCTATGTTAACACAACTCTTTGCATTCCTGTCAGCTCCTGTTCTTTTGAAGCCTTTTTTTCTAGCAGACTGTTTGAACTCTGACAGCAGTCTCACCGTAATGCAAGGTGGGGCAGGGGAGGTGTGGTGTGTCACCCAAGGGAAGGGTGCTGTTTACATACTGATGCATGTACAGCTCATAGTGACATATCCATCTGGCAGCACATTCAGTGCCTGTCAAGAATTGTGCAGTTGTTTCTGTTTGTGAGGGTAGGGGCTTTGCCCTTTGTCAGTTAAAATCAACATATCTTAATTCTTTTACTGTTGATGTAATACCTTTTATCAAACCAAAAAAGCTGCCTTTGTGAGAAGTTAACCTTACATTAGTTTGTATTCAGTTAACCTTTACTTCTATTTGCCTCATCAAAACTCAAGTTTTTTTTTTCCTACTTTTTTTAGTTGTAGGGGTGTCCTGATACAACTTGTTCACTTCCTATTCTATAGTAATATTGCAGCTTTGAGTACTAACCAATACCGATTTGGACCTAACACGATACCAGAATCAAGTGATGTTACTCAAACTGAAAGTAATATTCGGTAACAATGGGTATGAGAACAACTGACTTATTTGTTATCAACCAATGGGTTACATAAACTTTACAGAGAAGGCCAAGATTGTATCAGGCATTTTTCGACTGATATCAGACCAATTTTAGATATAAACATCTCTGTCTGCTTCTATTCATCCATCAATCCATTCTCCATCACTTTTATCACAAGCGGGGTCGCGAGGGGTGCTGGTGCCCATCTCCAGCTGTGGCGAGAGGCGGGGTACATCCTGGACAGGTCGCCTCTCCATTGCAATTAAGCCAATTAACATAACAATCATGTTTTTGGACTGTGGGAGGAAGCCGGAGTACCCGGAGAGAACCGATGCATGCTCAGGGAGAACTGAGCAGCATGCTACTATCAAGAAAGAGAAATTTCACTGGGTTGTATTTCTTTTTCTTTTTTTTTTTTAGCTTTTTAAATCCCTTTTCTGACTTTTCTGTTTGTGAACATGTGAACTTAGTTATTTAGTTGGAGGCATTATTTTGTTATTTGGGTATAATCGATGATAGATTCGACTGAGGTTAATGTTATAAAAAAGCTGAAATGGAAACATGTATGTTCCACTTAAATGGCAGGTGATCCCTTTTTATTTTTCTCTGGAAAATCTGTCTTTCAGAAATGATAAGGTTACAACCTCAACTGCAAATGCATACATTACAATAAACTTGTTGTTTCAAACTGCAAAGTAGTTGGTTTCCAAATGTGTTTGACAATGCTGAATTTATCACATTTAGTTGTATTAGAACCACTCTTTTTTTATTTGTCCTTGCAAAACAACTCCAGCTCAGTCAGTTTGAAAGCGCTGCACCTTTCAACAGGATTTCTATGTCTTACACATACTCCCAGTTGGATTTCTAGATGATTATTTTAAAGGTTTTGTGAAGGATTTTTAAAAGACCGGCCCTCTCCACTTTAAAAAAAAAAATGCACATGCACAACCCTTTACCCACTCCCAAGAGGGAACCCCTATTAAATCATGCGAGGGCATGCATGACCACATTTCTCCTCGTGCACGCTTTGTTTAAAAGTTGCTGTCGTCATAGCTCATACAAGCTTACTTTGTTCGAACATCCGCCCTAACCCCTAAATTCCTAAATCACTATATAGAGCGGGTACTATTTAGTGTACTTTACGGCGAACTCTGTTAACTGACTGTTTAGACAGATGATCACTACTTGTTGCTCGCCGTTGGTCACGTAACTCCTCCACCGCACGGTGCCTGCGGCATCTTTGTTATTAGTCTGATGGGTAGCGACTGTCTATGGCAACAGCAGGCCTCTGTGACAGCAAATCCCAGAAGAGCTCTCTGCGCAAAGCATTCCGGGATGTACACTCACCGGCCACTTTATTAGGTACCCCATGCTAATAACAGGTTGGACCCCCTTTTGACTTCAGAACTGCCTCAATTCTTCGTGGCATAGATTCAACAAGGTGCTGGAAGCATTCCTCAGGGAGTTTGGTCCATATTGACATGATGGCATCACACAGTTGCCGCAGATTTGTCGGCTGCACATCCATGATGCGAATCTCCCGTTCCACCACATCCCAAAGATGCTCTATTGGATTGAGATCTGGTGACTGTGGAGGCCATTTGAGTACAGTGAACTCATTGTCATGTTCAAGAAACCAGTCTGAGATGATTCCAGCTTTATGACATGGCGCATTATCCTGCTGAAATTAGCCATCAGAAGTTGGGTACATTGTGGTCATAAAGGGATGGACATGGTCAGCAACAATACTCAGGTAGGCTGTGGCGTTGCAACGATGCTCAATTGGTACCAAGGGGCCCAAAGAGTGCCAAGAAAATATTCCCCACACCATGACACCACCACAACCACCCTGAACCGTTGATACAAGGCAGGATAGATCCATGCTTTCATGTTGTAGACGCCAAATTCTGACCCTACCATCCGAATGTCGCAGCAGAAATCGAGACTCATCAGACCAGGCAACGTTTTTCCAATCTTCTATTGTCCAATTTCGATGAGCTTGTGCAAATTGTAGCCTCAGTTTCCTGTTGTTAGCTGAAAGGAGTGGCACCCGGTGTGGTCTTCTGCTGCTGTAGCCCATCTGCCTCAAAGTTCATCGTACTGTGCGTTCAGAGATGCTCTTCTGCCCACCTTGGTTGTAACGGGTGGTTATTTGAGTCACTGTTGCCCTTCTATCAGCTCGAACCAGTCTGGCCATTCTCCTCTGACCTCTGGCATCAACAAGACATTTCCGCCGACAGAACTGCCTCTTACTGGATGTTTTTTTCTTTTTTGGACCATTCTCTGTAAACCCTAGAGATGGTTGTGCGTGATAATCCCAGTAGATCAGCAGTTTCTGAAATACTCAGACCAGCCCTTCTGGCACCAACAATCATGCCACGTTCAAAGTCACTCAAATCACCTTTCTTCCCCATACTGATGCTCGGTTTGAACTGCAGGAGATTGTCTTGACCAAGTCTACATGCCTAAATGCACTGAGTTGCCGCCATGTGATTGGCTGCTTAGAAATTAAGTGTTAACGAGCAGTTGGACAGGTGTACCTAATAAAGTGGCCGGTGAGTGTAGATACAAATGTATACTGCAGGTTAAGCCTTTTTTATGTTTAAAAAAAACAAAAAAAAAAAAAAACTGTCTCACCATTATTATACATCTTTTGGGTGGCCTGTTGTATAAGAAAAAAAGATTGGAAAATTATGAAAAGCCCAAGGTGTGTGTATACCTGTTGGAAAAGCTACAAAATAGTCTTGTGGTAGCTCTCAATTTTATTCTGTATCTTTTAGACAGCAAGACCACAACCCCGACATGTACTTAAATCTACCAAAATAAGGAAACTCTGATGCTTTTCAGTCAGCAAGGATTATCTGCTTTAAAAGTATTGATTCAGAATTTGGCTTCAGCAACACAGAGATTCCTTGATTTGCAATACCAGCCATTAAGATTAGAGGTAGCAAGCTCATGAAAACCACTCAAAGACATAGAATTTGAATTGGAGAAGAAAACAAATCCCAATGACTGAACTGTGAAAATCACAAACTTTACTAAATAGGCTAATTTTTTTTTTCTTCATATTTTTCTATTTATGATAAATGGTTCAGTGTGATCAATCAGAAGATTGATCTCCTGATTTCCCACGCTATCCTTTTTTAATTGCATTCCAAGTATACATGCAGCAATAGTTTGTAATTTGCTGCTACTTTTATTAAAGCTGTTTTTGATCACCTGAACAGCAGGTGGTTGAGTTTTTCCTGCTGAAGCCAATGTTTGCCTTTCCTTTGATGTCAAACATAAAGAACTTTATGACTTTAGTCTCATGAAAATGCTATTTTCACAACTACAGTGACTCATTTCATTGTCGTGCAGCTTATGCAGTACATACTGTGCATTGTACTATTTGCTAGGTACATTGTTCTGCGTGTATGGTGAGGTTAGAATTGCTTTCACTTATAGAGCTGGAAGGATTGAAGTAAAAAGCAAGCAGGAGGAAAGGTCTTCTCACATTAACCTGTGTATTTATTTCCCTCCCTTCTTTTTTCTTTCCATCTTCCAGGTGCAGTTCTGGTGGAAATCTCTGAGGTGCATAGGAGGGCTCATCTTGAGATGGAGGAAAATGTAAGTGCCACAGATGTTTTTAGACTCTGTACAGATTGCCAGTTTAAATAGCTGTCGTCTGATCGCTCTGTGATTATGTTACCTAACCCTAATGCATTTTGTCAGACACATCCTCTCTGTAAACCTGTTGCTCAGTATATTTCCACAGCAACATGCTGTTTCTGACGCATTCAACTGGTAGGTCTTTCTTCTACACGCATAAATAGAAAACACCTCGCCTCCTTTCCCACCTACATGTACAGTAGCCACATGGGCAGCTGCAATGTAGAAGAGATTTAATGACAATGAAGGCTGTTTTTTTTTTTTTTTTTTTTTCCTATTTTACAAGGGCAAGTCTAAACAAGCCCTGGAAAAACATTGGCTGTAGCTGGTTAAGATTCATTAAACTTGCATCTGCACATGCACCGCTTCCCACTGCTTTATCTGAATGTGTCATGCTGGATTCTCCCCATGGTTTTTTTCCCTAAGTTTTGTCTTCATTGTCATCCAGCTTGTTTGGACCTAGTAACACACTTTGTTTTTTGAACACAATTAATCAGATTTGTTTCGCAATGTTTTTGTCCCTAGATCCATCACTCATCCATCTGCACACATTCTAGACTTTTTCATGACACAATATTTATTCAGGAAGGCCTATGAAATAATAGGGAGGACTGCCGACTAGACAAAGTCGGGGTTCTTCCAGTTTTTTTTTTTATATCGGTGGGGGTTATTCTATGATACAGCCATATCAGCTTTCTGCTTTCCAACCATGTTGGATGTGAATGTTCATACCTCCCCTTTATATGCAAACTACCAGATTATCCCAGATTTCACATTTCCACAGACCCTTTCCCACACATATTTGCAAATAAGTATGTAAATATAGCAAATATGTTTAAAAACGCCATTAAGGCGTTAAGCTCGTCAAAGGTCAGTGCATCGGCCTAATAACAGTGTCAGTTTGACAGCTTTCAGCATAACCAGGGTTTGTGCTGTAATACTCTGGACTGGGGGGAAGCCAGATGTCTTTTAAAAGGTCTGATACACTCAAAGAAACATGGGGTATTACCCTAATGTTTTGTGCTAAAATATCATTGCTAATTAAGTTACCTATTTAGATTGCTGTACACAACCATGTTAATGGAAAGTTTAGTGAAAGGAAAAATAATGCTTTAGCAACAGGGATGCCTGCAACTGTGAGAGGTGTGTTTAATAGTTTTTGAAAGATTCACAAGGTGCTGAGTCTGGGTGGAATCAGAGCCTAAAGAAGCACCACACAAAGAGATACAGAACGCTGGACACATTAGTTTAGCCAAACACATAGGCCTTGAGTTATGTAGATGTTGATGATGCCAGAAGTGTCTTACACCCGTGCTAAGGAGAAAAGGGACAGGACTGGTACTGACCATAAACAGTCATTTTTAAACTTAAACTGGGTTCATAAATGGGGGAAAAAAGGAAGAAAAAAGTGCTAACTAATATTAGCTAACACATTATGACATGTTTCCGTAAAGCCAGGCATACACTGTATGATTTTGTTTGTTGTTGTTTTTGTTTTTTTTGCATCCTGGGTTGTGTAGTATACAGGGGTTAAGGAGGGGGGATCAGCCTCTCATGATCATCTCCTGATCAGGAATCGTAAGGTCGGGAGAAATTGAAATTCAGTCGGCCCTTGTGAGGTGTTTTCGCGGGCATATCCTGCTGTTGAAGCAGAGGTACCAACATCTACCAGCTTATTTACCAGAACCTCGAGCATTGCCCAAGTGCAAACAAGAGAGTTCTTCTTCGTCATCTTCCAGATTGACAAGTCTGACCAGTGCCATCTCTCGGTGCTGAGTCAGACATGTGGTTTTTGGATCTGCAGTGTGAGCAGGTAGATTGCATCAGAGCGTCGGGCAGTACAGTGTGAGAACATGCATCGTGAGCTGCGGTTTTGTTATACGATTAAAAAATCACAAAGTGTATGCCCAGCTTAAGGAAATCATAACGTAGTGAGGCCACTTCTTATGCTTCTCAGGTCATTTTCTGCTGCATCTTGAACAAATACTTATAAACACCTTTGTGGCAGAATGTACATGCAAATAACTTTCGTAAATCCTAGGTCACTGCCTTTTTGTTTTTATAAATTCTCTTTAAGAAGAAATAAAGTTTCAGAATGGCTAAAAAAAAGGGAGAATTCAATCCCTATTGAAATTCTAAACTTATTGTGTATAGTTTCATTTAAAAACAAACAACAACAAACTACTAGATATTTAATAATTTTCTATCATGTTGTGTTTAGTATTGAGTATTCTTCAAAGATTTCCAATAGAACAGATGTGCATTAGTACTTTCTTAAGCAGTGACAGAAATTGCTTCTGGACTCCCTGGTGGCCAGGTTTTTAAGCTAGTGAGCTATTTTTTTTATTATATAATCTAAAGAATATGCTAAATTGAACTTTTAACCAGTTTAAAGATTCAATATATAGCCATGTGCTCTTTCTGCTGGAGACATTGTCCCAATGATGCTTTTGTTTGGGGAATTATTCTTTTCATTTTACCCTCTTTCAACTTATTTGGAGTTTAATGTGTTGGGACATTTATATTGTTGAAGAACTGTGGAAAAATTCATTAGAGGGAGACAATATTATTTTTATGTAATGACACAATATTTTTTTCTGAAAAATGAACTGCACCAGTTTGAGAGTGTCTCATTAAAAATGAACTTGGAGGCAGAAGCGATGCGATGCAGTCCTCTGAGACAGTGTTGCCAGCAGAACCTGTGGGTGGGTTTTCTTCTTAATAAACTCCAGTTTGTGAGTTAAAGCCTCAGTTTAACTTGAGGAAAGCCTTTCTGGTGCTTTGATGCTCTGTGTTATGGTATATAAAGATAATCTTTCCCTGGGAGCTGTTGCTGCATCACAACAAGGCTTGGATGAACGCATTGACACCTGCAGATAAATGAGAGCTGCAGAGGAGGGGAGGATGCGATGGAGGACCATGGGCATTCCCACGCTTTGTTTCTGACTCATTCATAAGCACAACCTTGGACTTAGCTCTCACCCCCGCAGACATTTGCCAATACCCTCTATTATGATTACTTTCCTTTTTTTTATGAAATTTGACTAATTTTTCTTGTTGTTGTTGTCAGCAAAGCTAAAAAGCCAGTCCTTTATGCCCCTATCATGTTTATAATCACCATTCTTTTTTTGTTCCTCCTCCTCCTCTATACATGAAGTTTAAGAGGTTCCACAGGGAGGTAATAACCGAGCTCGAGAGGAAGACTGATATGGACGTCAAATACATGACAGTAAGTAGATTCTTTGTATGTCTAAAGCAGCTGCACCATAAGCCCTTCTTGCAACAAAACAGCCTTTCATTTAAATAGATTCTATTATGGTTTGCATATTGGCTCAGGGACTACAAGGAAGGATAGACGTGCATAAAATAGTGTGTGATGGAACAAAATTCTCATATATTTGATAATGGAGAACAAGGACAGGGTGAGCAGCTAAAGAGGATTAGTAAATGATGTGAAGCTTTTTTTTTTTGTTTTTTGTATTTTCAACGCTGAAAACGCCACTATAATCTGATCACATATTTCTGGCTATAATTATGACTGCAGGGATGATAATTAATTTAAAATGGGTTATCTCAGGCACACAACACTAAAGACAAATTAGGTTCCATTATCCAGCAGCCACAAACCCATGCAGTCTTTGCTGGATGATGTATTTGAGGCTTAATAAGAATAAGACATTTCTTGTCAAATTTACATTGCATGGCAGATGTAGAAAGCAACCATTAATTCTGCTTCAGGATGTCAATTTTTGTTGAAATATTAGCAAGCTGTAATCATTTGAAATGTCTATGAGAATAAGCGTGATCAAAACCATAAACGAATGTGATCTATTTTATAAGGCAGGTTATTCTATGCTAGCGCTTGTAGCCATTTATAGATGTTTGGATGGGAGCAACTTTAAATTGCCCTTGATCTGCAGAAACCTCACATTATATTTCTGGCATCTGATTAGTTATCTAAACCACAAGAACAGTTTTTAGAAATTTTCTAATTAAAAAATTTCGTTTTGAAACGTTGAAGTGTCTTGAAACAAGGGAAATGTTTTATAAAGATATTGGAGATTTTTATTTTTTCATACATATCTGGAAGTCAAATGAATAACAGAAATTCCCCAAAAAAAGATATTATCTTTAATATTTGAAAGTTTGCCTAGGTCCGTTTTAATTCTGACATTTTATAATCCCCTAATCTGCAGAGTTTGGCTACAGTTGGCTGTTTATTCTCCTCTTAGACATGCTCGCTCTTGTAGATTGAATCAAACTTTTGTTTCAACACACAGGGATGGTTTCAGTGTTAATTCACTGATGTGTATTTCCCCCGTCATCTGAAGTACAGATTTTATTGATGGCTTGAACAGCATTTTTGGGAACTGACTCTAGTTAAAACTGCCTTTAAACTACATTTAAAGTTTTGAAATCCATAGAAATTGTTTTAACCCAAGATTTTTTTAATATCCTGACAAACCTTGGTACTAACATAATGTTCTACATAATGAAAACAATTTATAGTTTTAAAAATTATTGAAGATAAACCTGTTCTCTTGATAAACTGGAAAAGTTCTGTAAAACAAAAAAAATTCAATAATTTTTAATACTTAATGTTCACCCAGTCTGACTTCTAAGTAAACATAATTGTGTCTGGCATTGGTAGATTAACAAGCATATATGTGTTAACTTGATTAATCACATGGATCATTTGGCTTCACAGCCAGCTTCCAGTTGGCTATTTGGTCTCCCAACAGAAATACTAGCGCTTGCAGATTTTCAAATGTTTAATTAAAAACAGTGCTACCTTAAAAGAGCAGCAGGTAAACCCCTGTGGAAATTTTGTAGGCAGTAAAAAACATGGCTGCCCTTTTAAGAGGGAGAAATCCTCCATGGTCCCCTCCTTACTTGGCTCATACAGAGTTCTAAGCTGTTTTTCTCTGAAAAAATAGTCCTGCAGCGACTTTTAGGGGTGCTAATAAAAACTCAGGGCTGCAGGTGAATAAGGCCTCTTTAACATTACCCAAATTAACAGAAATGGTTTGTTTAGTTTTGTTTTATTTATGACCCCTCCTTTTGGAGGTTTAAAAGTGAAAATGTCATGCAAATGTTAAAGCCTCCCGTGGTGATATCATACTTTTTTCCTTTTATATGAAATATTTAACATTTTGGCAGTAGAGGCAAAACCATTACATGCACTACCCATTGACACCATTTTTCAGTTGAATAATGTGAAGCAGCATGGTTGACCTTTTGTAGACCTACCTTTAAAATCTTTATATATTTGAAGTAATGGCTGCACACACATTTATTTGCTGCACAAAAGAGAACAAACTCAGTAAAAGTGTTTGATGCAGTTTTCTTAAATTTAAAGTGTGTGTAGGTGTTTACTAAGGCAAAAGAGACATAATAGCTTACACTAACACGTTGGGATAAAAGTGTTACCCTACATACTTACATTTGACCCAGAAATATCACTCATTCTTGCGTTTTAATAGAAATAAATCAAAGGATACAAACAAAAACTGAGGGAAAAAAAGTTTATGGATTTTGAAATACTTGTTAAGGTACTGTGCATCTTGAAACTGGCCTGTACCCATTTTAGAAGCAAAGCTTTCCTATTTTTGGTCAAATATCAACAGCTTGTTGTTCCAGTATTCACATGAGTCATTTCTCTGGTTTTAGGCCACATTTAAGAGGTACCAGATGGAGCACAAGATGAAGCAGGATTCTCTGGAGAGGTCCCAGGCAGACTTGAAAAAGCTGAGGAGGAAGAGCCAAGGCAAAAACGCCAACAAGTACGAACACAAGGAAAGCGAGGTGAGATGGACACAGAAACGCCCACACTCATGTCATACACCTTGTAAAGATGCCCTCCCTTTAAAACCCCCGCAGAACATGGTCATGTTCATATTTATGTCAACATACAGTGATTGCTTAATGCACTCTCTGCTCCGTAAACTTTGAAACCCGAGCTGCACATTAGCAGAGCTGAAGAGAAACATTGGTTGATGTTAGTTGGTGTTCAATCTGTGCAGTCAGGCATGAAACTATTACTGTTTACTTTCAATTTCTTTTATCTGAACCGTTTTTATTGTTAGCTTCATGTTTACAGATACCAACATTAGCTTGGCTAAAGCCACAAAACTTATTCATCTGCTTATCTTGAGATGATGACCTTACATCTGTGCACCAGTTAAGAAATGCTGAATAACTTTTAGCCTGGAAAGTATCAGTATTTTCAATTTATTTAATGATAAAATATCGTTTTTTTCTTGTTTTTGTTTTTTTGTTCAGATCATGAACGTCATTGTTCCATAGTTATGACAACATATCTGTTTTGGAAAATGAGACTAGTGCTCTTGGATTCTTGTTACTGTTAGTGTTTTAGGTTGTTGTGGCATGTTAAATCATTATTGTAGGTTGTTTTAACATGGTACAGCCACACCCTCTCAGTGACTCTGCAGAGCAGAAACTTTCTTTTTGAAGTCGGCTCCCTGAAACCACTGCAATATCAAAATCCTACAAAACAGGCTTCTTATTGATGTCGTCAAGCCGCCTTTTTACCTGGCTTCCTGTGAATGTATTTTTGTGGAGTTAAACTCTTTTGTGTATTCTGGAAATGCATTTAGACCTACAGTACCTTCTAGTAGTAGAGATTGGCTCAACTAAATACATTTAAAGCACGAAAGCAAAGCCCTCTAAGAAAATATTTTTTTTAGCTTTTTTTTTTATTTTTCATTCTTTGAGCTATTAACCTAACTGCATCCAGAGCCCATGGTTTTGTTTCCTTTTTAGTACATAAATATTTACAACTCTATAAGCACATTGTCATTTTTTTTTTTATTTGAATTATGATCTTTAATTGAAACAGGGTGGTAAATCATTTAACTTAAGGATTTCCTTTAGGGTAACTTCATTCAGAAAATATGAGAAAGTCTTTACCTCTTAGCCTTTGACCTCTTTTGCATTTCTGTACCTTCCATTGTTTTGCCGCTTCCTCTTTGCTCATCCTTTTAGTATCACTCTTATTTGAATTTTACCTCCCGTACCTTCCCCCAGGAGCTGAGACACTTTGTTTCCTTTCCTCTGTGCTCGCCTGTTTGATTTAAAGCAAGTTTGTGGGATTTTGGTGACTCAGAAAGACACCTGACAGATATGGGTAGACAGGACGTCATGGCTGTAAAATGACACTAGATGATTCAAAACACATTAAAAGGTCTTCAAAGTGAACAATCAGAAAGAAAATACATGGGATCAGGAAAATGAAGAAGAAAAAAAACTATCTAAAAACGGAAACAAATCCACTGCTGAGGAATAGTTAAAGTTTTATTCAATGGTAAAGCTCAAATTTGTAAAAAAAGCTCTCATAGAAAACAAGTTTTTGTCCTGATTTGCCACATATACTTTCCAAAGAACAGTATTTGTTGTTTTGGCCTTCCTTCCATGTTGCTCTCTGGCTTTTAATGCGATAAAGCTCCAATACTCCTTGGAGCTCCTCTGGGCAGCTGCTCTGGAACTGAAGGCCTGCCGACAGAAAGTATTGTCTTGTATGAAAGATGCTTTTCATAGCAGCTGTGGCTCCTACCAGCCTGGTCTCAGATATTTTTATTCCTCTTATCAGGCCCAGTTAAAAACTGTCTCAGACATATTGTCTAAAGTAACTGGTCAGTATCTCTTTATTCTAACCCTTTCCTTCAGCACCTTTAACTAAACTTACCTAATACTAACCCTATGGAGGCAACAAAGTGAATGTTTTTCTTTTACTCTTTATTCTTTTTACTGTTCCTGTGGTGATTTGTAAAGAAAGATAAGCTTTGTTTTATCAGGATGATGATGGTTTGGAAAAATAAAATTCAGAATTGTACTATTTAACAGAAGCTTTGAAATTGACCCTCTATATACATTTTAGAGATACTCCTTTCTTATGTAGGTCATCTTTACATCCCTAAAAACAAAATAACTCCATTAAATGACTAGATCCCTCATGAATCTCAACATGGAACAACATTATCTTCTATTCGTCTTTACAGCACAACATGTTATAAAAGTTATTTGGAGAAAACTCTTGCTTCAAAAGGAATATAGAGGATGCATTGTGCGCTGTGCTAATATTAGTCTTGTTTTTAAAGATTTGCGTGTTTGCTGCTGATATTTGCCTCTGTTTGTTTGTTGGCGTGTTGCCTCAATCAGAAGTCTGTTCTCTCAGTGTTGGATTTCAACAGGGATATTGGCAGATCTAAACAGATGGATTCATGCAGGATTTTCTGGTACTGGACAGACTGATATTCACTGGACTAGGATGCTGTAGTCAAAGGTGTTATCCCCTGATCTAATGCAGTGTGCTCTTTTTTTTTACTTCCTATTATGCACAAGTTTACCAGCAATATATGAATTATTGATCATCTACATTTTAGAAATTATAATTTAATTATGTAATAATTAATATATTTTTTCTATTAGTGTAGAACATAGAAAAGTATGCTTTTTTTGCACTCTATATAATTTTTCACATTTAATAGAAAACTGACATACATGTAAAAATACAAATTTGACTTTTCATTTTTGTTCATATTACTAAACGCTTTTTAATAACCAACACAAAACTGTGTGTAATTGTAATAAAATGATGCATATTTTATATTAAGTGACTAAAAATCTGAAAAGGGTGGCGACTATTCGTGTTCAAACCGATCTTGTTAAGACCTCATTGAACTTTTGCTGTTCAAACAGCTGCAAGTCCATTGCATGCATCCATCTGATCTACAGATCTAGAAACGAGGATTGTTGCTCATCATTTGTCTTTTCAAAATATAGTCAAGCGCTGTCTGATTTGATGAAGTGTGTTTGTAAACTATAACAGATTTCTTATTGGATTTTAAGGTTTGGACTTAAATGGGCCATTGAAACACATACATTTTATCTGAACTTATCCACAGTAACTGAGGATGAATGTTTAGTTATTGTCTTGCTGAAATATGTGACACTTCTGCCTGTTTTGTCAGGTTATGCCTAACAAAAACGAGTACTAAATTCAGTTGACAGACCTCTTTTCCATGAAAACCCATTAAATTTGATGGTTTTAACACATTACAAGGTGAAAAGTATTCCATAGGTATGGCTTTTTCCAAGTCTCAATTTTTCCATCAGCTGATTATTCCTGTTTAGGTTTCACACATTAGAAGCTGAAGAGGTCCTAACCCACCTCCCCTTCCAAGTAAATGTCATCCCTTATCATTAAAGGAATTAGCAGAAGACTGCTGTTGTTCAACTGAACAGAACAGGGGTGTGTGTGCCTTAGCATTAGGTAGTCGTTACAGGCGTGTCACCTGCAGCCAGTTGAATGAGATATGGATCTCCAAACTATGTCAAGAAATCAGGGACAATCCTAACAGGCGGGTTCACTCAGAGTTCTATTTGACTATGCTGTGGGATTCTTTTGCAGGAAAAACTGGTCAATTCTGTATAAGCTTATTTCTAAGGCTACAAATTCACTCTTGGTCTCCTTTAAATTATATGTTGTCATGAAAAAAACGATTCTCTATACTGTAAAAAAAAAATTATTAAGTAATTCTAATCTAAAATGTAATATCATAGACTGAGACTGCAGGATTTGCTTTGACATGCATTTACACATTTAATCCTTTCAATGACCCCGCCGACCTTTCATCAATCGCTGTCTGTCAGTGAAGATAACGCTGTCCCTCCGGTCATAGGTGCTGTTCTTTCTCCATGTTACCGCTGCTGTTCTTTTCTCTAAATATTACGCTCACAAGAGTCTGTCAATACAGGAAACTGTAAACTAACAATACCTGTTCCCCTGCATGGCAGAGATTAGGATTTTAAGAAAAGAGCCCTGCTGCTTTCATGTAATACACCCTTATTGGGCTTGTGTATGTATCAACAATGAAAAGGTTTTGGTGGCTGGAGACCATGTGCAATGCAAGATAAGAGAGTCCCCCTAAAGGAAACTATGTTTAACCCTTTGATGCAAAACCAGGTTCAAAAGTGACATGACTGTTTTTTTTGTTCTGTATCTGTGCATTGAAATCATTTAATCTGTTGGTATTTCTGAAACCTTTTAACTGTTTTCTTTCCTACATTATTAGCCAACCCAGGTTTTGTATTTTTTTAAAATAAGTTGACACCAATTGTTAAGAAGTGAGCCTCCTTCATTTCCTGTTCCATGGAAGTCTCCTGCTATATTTTGCAATATGTGGACCAGAGGAAGGATGCCCAGAAGAAGAGATCCAGAGGAACCTTTGATAAAACATTGTAGTCCAGTTATGCATTTGAATCAGAGTTGCTTTACTAAAGTTTCTTAGCGTTCATTTTATAAATCTTTACATTTTTCATGTATTACTTTTAATTCTTACTAGACTATTAGAATATAGCTGTTATAGTTTTAGACCCCTTGCTGTAAATATTTAGCAAGGGGTCAATAATGAGACTTTTAACATTTGGAATTAAAATTTTAGATCTACAGTTCTTTGAATTTTTTGGTTAAACTTGACAAGTTTAGCTACACCACTGATACACCACCTGGTTAACGGGCATGTTAACTTTGATTAGTCTTGTATTGGCGTAACAAAAGGACTAAATAAACAATTCTAAAATGGTCACTACTTAAGCTTTTCATTTACTTATTTGATCAGGTTACCTAATTTTGATATTTTATTATAAAAATAATAAGTCCAAAGGCTAAATGTAAATCTGTTTTTCCCATACTTGTATTCTAAAAGAGAGAGCCAAGAAACATAGAAATGATTATGGATGATTTCTGACCCATGTTGTAGATTATAAGGGAAGCTGATGTTTTGTGTATCAAAGGAAGCACTGAACGTTAGTCAAATCATTCCACCTGGCATGCAGATTGAATCTCCTATGTTTTGTTTGCTTGTTATTAGATCCTGGAAGTTCTGACATCTCGACAGACAGAGATGCAGTTGTTCCTCGCAGATGGCTGCAAGGAGGCTCTACTGGAGGAGAAGAGACGCTTCTGTTTTCTTGTTGACAAACACTGCATGCTAACCTATCAGTTTGCCTCTTACCATGACAAGGTAAAATACATGATTCAGGGTCTTTTTTTTGTTTTTTTTTTACATAAACCAGCTAGTTTGACACTACGTTGGTTAGCAGTCATTAGACGCCTTTAAAATCTACTGTTTGCAGGTATGTGTTTTACAGTAGATGTCTGAGAATTAGTTAAAGACACATGGCTTATGGACTCTATTTATTCTATGCCCACTTTTAAAACACTCTAAATTTGATGCACTTCTTTTACTATTTAAATTTGATGTTCAAAAATTTCCTCACTCAGGTATTTAAAAACATAATCTTTATTGTTCTGAGGTAACTGATGCATGATAGAAGGTGCTGAAACAAATCCGCCTAGTGGTATATAATGTTACCATGGGGATGGGAATGGGTACGCTATTCCACTGCTTACTCATGATTTTTTTAAATGATCTTTTATCTTTTGCATGGCTGCTGGGTAGGCCAGAGACATACTGACAACCAAGCTAAGCAGCTGGCAGGACCAGTGCAACGACGCCACCAACATGCCTGACAGCGTTCTGTCCATGATTGACGAACTGCGCAAGCCAGTCACTATTACACCGATGCCTTCCCCCACCCCGTCACGACACAGCATGGTATGAAAGGAGGAACAAGACCACATCAAAGTGTTGAATTCCTGTGTGCAGTCTGAGGAAGAAGTAAAACAATAACTCATTAGTGCAGGATGAGAAAAAAATAATTACACCTCAGTGAGGTGATTGTAGCTTGTGTGGGTGTACATATCAGTGATAGAGCAAGAGATATAAATAGCATTATGTATTGCATAAAACATGAATGACAAAACTTAATAATGGACTTTGCTCAGAGCAAGTTTCTCCAAAACAAGAATAAAAACTTGTTTAAAACGTATGCCGTTTAATTTAATGCAACTCATTTGATTGGATGAATCTTTATACTTGGGATAATTCAAATGAATTAGGAGAAAATAAAGTTTAAAAATTCTCAAATATTCAAAAGTTTCAATGGTAATGAAATTCATTTTGTGGAAATCATTTATTAAAGTTTCATCTTTTATCATAGTAATCTCTTATTTCAGTGTTTACTTATTTTATGTTACTGTAGTTTCTGAAATAATTCAAATTCTGCATATAAACACAGCTGCAACTCAATGACATTGTCTAAGGCAGTGGTTCTTCCTTCTGTCCTACTTTGTGACTTTAAAGGGTTTTACTTTAACTAAATGCACAGAACTATTAAAATGTTTAATGAAATGATGACTGAACTATTTTACAACTTCATATATGTATGGATTAAATTTAAGTTACTGATTAAGGTAGATTAATCATTTACATTTCAAGATGAAGACAATTGAGATGTCTACAATTTTATTTATTTATTTATTTTAATTTGGGGAATTTGGGCTTCCTTACAGTTTAGCTACATATTTGATTAATTTAACTTACTTTAAAGTGTGCATTTAGGGGATATTTTGCATTTCCTATTCACCAGACTTTTTCCCTGAACCTTTTTTTTTTTTTATAAATCTCATAAATTGGGACAATGATCTTGGTATTTGGTAACCAGTGTAAAAGTTATACTGCATGTTCAAATGCCATAACCAGAATGTTAAACAATTATTCATAAAAATATTTAAGATCAATGATAAGTGTTACTTTCTTTACCTGATGTACTTTACTAATGATGTACAGGTGTGTTTTTGATTTGCCTCTTTTTAAAACCAATTTTATGATCAGTGTTTTACTTTTAACAAAGCTGTCTTTTCAATTTATTGTTGAGACAAATTTGCTGAAAGTAAGAATTGTTTGTTTCCCACTTTCCAATACCAGATTGCTCCCCCTGCTCCACCTATGAAATATAAATCCAGCCCTCTGGCTCACATGTTTGACCCCCAGGACAACGGCCCTAACAGTATGACTGCTCCTACTCCTACCAAAGAAAGCATAGGTAATACCACTTAACTTAAAACCGTTTAACATATATCTGTTCTTTGTTTTGTTTTTTTATTCATAGTCCTTATCTTGCTCTGTAGCCCACAGCATGTGTTTTTCAGGGGGAGGTTTATAAGTGCTGCCGACTGCGATTTCAGTTTTTTGTTTTAGAGTGGGGGGTTGGGGGTTCTAGTATGCTTTCTCGTCTTATTTTTCAGTAATGGAAGCCTTTCACTTCAGGTTAAGGTTCCTTTATTAATACACCAATTACTTACTGGGCGATTAAAAATAAGGGACAGAATAACTCCTGTTTTAAACACACTATAAAAGCTAATGCATAGCAGACCACAGAAAAAATGTTCATGAAAAGTTCTGAGAGTACTCAAGCAAAGATGAATTAATTAGAATTACTACATCAGGGTAAGATAAATAAATGAAGATATGCTGCATTGTCCATAAAATGGGCAAAGTATCATATTCCTCAAGTCAATAATAGCTGCAGGGACAAAGCTGTTCTTGGAACATTGTGTTCTGCATTCTAAGACGAAGAATCTTTGTAGGATGCAGAGACTGAACTTTTACTGTTAAAATGATTGCCTGCAGGAAATTGTTTTTTTTTTTGGGGGGGGGTTGGGCACATTTACTATTTAAAGTAGATTCACAGCATCAGAGGATGAACTATGAGTTATTTAATCAATAATAATAATTAGATACCTGCAAAATGTTTGTTTAATAACATTATTATATGCTCTCAATTTCCCACCGGTCACCCTCCTTTTCTCACATAGACCGTGAAAATGGTGAAGACAGTAATCTTGCCAGGTCTGTGTCCGTCGCCACCGGCCTCAACAGCATGGCGAGGAGGCCAAGGGTGCGGACCATCTTCCCCCACAATGCTGGCAACAACAGCACCCTGCTCAGCTTTGATGAGGGGGACATAATCACCCTGCTCATCCCTGACGAGAGGGATGGCTGGATGTACGGGGAAATGGAAAAGAATGGAAAGTGAGTGTTCACTACATTTTGTCCTTTTGGCAGATATGAGTTCCCTAATGGAGTCAGTATAATTTAGAACAGTGTGTTGATTAAAATGGTGTGACTGGACAGGGACACGCTGAACTGTTTTCAACAATTTTAAAGTGTCACTTTTCAGGTTATCTTTAAAGGTCTTTGCACCAGATATGGATACTGAACTTAAAAAAAGACAGAGCATCTCTTTTTAAAAAATACCAACCAATAATCTTTCCTTTCTTGACATTTTCCACTTCCAGCTTTTATATTTAGAGTAGTACCAATTCATAACACATGTAATCTCAAGGCAATTTCCTGATGGTTCAATCAATTCATACAAACTTATGAAGGTAAAAGTGTCTATCATAGGAAACCCAGAAGGTTGCATCGGGCCATTGGTTCGCAGCATTCACTGTTCCTGGATGAGCTTGCATTGCAGCTATCCCTCATTATGAACATGCATGTAGGGACAGTGGAGAGGAAAATTCACCTTTAACAAGAAGCCATCTTTTTTGTGTGAATCAGACACACAAAAACAACAGTCACTTATTAAGAGCTGAACGTAGAACAGAAAATTAATAGCAATGATAAGACAGCAAAACAGATGAGCTCTGAGCCAAGTGGGTAATCGATACAAGGAAAACATGGAGTTTCCACAAGCAGCAGTAGCTCACCTCATGCCCACCCTCCAGGATGGTATCACAGCTAAACCGAGCGCTAGGCAAGATGTAGCTACTATAAAGTAAAACAGAGCGAGAACATTAAAGTAAAAAAAAAGCTGAAATAACAACAGATAATGTAAAACTGGAGAGGAGAAGGGAAAAAACATTCAGAATATGGTTGTGGACTTCCTCCATATTAAGATCAAGGTTTCTTCATTTATAGCTGTGGCAAGATTTGTTTTTCAGTGGTTTAAAACGCATACATACACACATGCTCTGTAAAAACGTCAAAATAACCCAGAATGATTGGCAGATGGGAAAGCTGAAGTGCTTGAAGCTCCACAAGTCAAAAAAAAAAAACAGCAGGGCACAGAAGAGGGAGAGACTTTTAAAATCAAAAGAAATGTTATTAAAAATGTACTGTAGAAATGGAAGAAAAAATGAAAACACGGCTGAAGAAAACATACTGGGCTGGGATTTCCACAAAAGAAATATAAAATCACTGAAAACCCATTCAAATCCTTTGAGAGTGTCTGTGTCATTTCAGCAATACCGGTAGGAATAAAGCTTTTAAAATGTCTTTGTCTACATTTAGGGGCTTAAGGCCTCATTCAGGAGGGAACAAGCTTGAGCTGTTTGTGAAGTTGATAAAATTCATCTTTTAAAATAGAAGAGACTATCCGCTGTATCTGCCTGATGTACAGGGATGCAGCCTAGAGTTGGCACTCTCCAATAAGTCTAGATGACAGTTTAACAATTTGCTGCAGGGAACACTTTTCTTTCAAGGTAGCTTTACTAAATCATGAAACTAAAGAAAAGTTAAAACCAACTCTATAAAAGCACAATAGAATAGTCATTAGGGTTTAGTCAAAGTAAAAAATGGCTGAGTATCCTTCAGCAGAAACGGCACTGATGGGCCTTCTGATAGAAGTTTTACAGTTCCCCTCAAAGTGAAATTTTACATCTTAAATACTCCGAAGGTTTGCCCAGTAATTAAAGGGACTTTGTGCACGTGATTAGCATATGTTTGATTTTACAAGTGTTAAGGTGGAGGTAAAGGCTGATTTATACTTCGAAACTAAGTCGTCTGCGTAGGTGTCGCAGTGAACAAAAAGACGTCCCTGCCACCTTTCCCAAATTTTAAGTGACCGCAGACAGTGCCGCAGACAGGAGGCCTCTGATTGGTCAAATCTACATCCGCTTGCTGGCTTGTTTTGTTTTTATGATTGCAATTGCAGAAAAAAACTCGTGAAGTTGGAGCAGCTAGAAGAGCGAGGTGCACGAGAACCCTGGGACCCTTTTTTTCACCTGGATCCCTGCCCTTTTTCGCTCTCATGTCCCTCCATTGTCGGACAAACTCGCCCCCACTTCCTCACCACCTCGGCCGTATATAGACCCACAGCGTATAGCATAGACCACGCTCAAAATTGAGCATAAATCAAAAATGTCTGCATCAAGCTCACTGCGACACACTGCTGCGGGGAGTATTACCAGCCCTTAAGACTCCTTACTCCATTGCACAAATTTGTTGGTCACCTGGCTGTGCTTGCTTAAAATCTCTTTAAGAAGGCTAACAATAACATAATCATCTACATAATTTTAATGAACCTGATGTTATGTCTGCTCTGACAAGTCTATGTGTATAGAATAAAAGTAGAGGTGACAGTACACAAGCTTGTAGAAGTATGTTTATATTCTGAGAGACTCTTTTCTCTGTGTCCTGTTAGTTAAAAACATTAGAAAATCTAACCACCCAGATTGTCACTTAATATTAACTGTTTAATAGATTAATGGCAGTGTTCCTGGTTAATTCTGTAAAGTTGTTGTAATTTCAATTTACTGTATTTTCCAGACTATAGGTGCACCTCACTATAAGCCACACCCACTAAGTTATATTTTTAAACTGGACATGGATGTGGACTTGAAATTTACTCATATGACCACCTGCCTCATAGATGTGTCAACATAAGCCGCCTCTCACCACCTGTCATCAATGAGGCACTCCTTTTCTTCTTCCACCCTTTTATGAGGAACATGTTCAGATCTAGTGCTAACCTGCATCCCAACTGATTTGGGTAAAAGGAAACTGAGTAAAGCCCAATGATTCACACTGAAAGTCAGAATTTTCCCTGAGTAATCAGATCTGTAACCTTCTTTATATGTTGAAATTACAAGTTGCCAAATCTCTGTTGCCAGTGCAGCTTAATTTTAATACAGTTAAATATTTATGTCAATTGGTCTTATATTTTGTCGCATAATCCGTTTTTTGTTTTTTTTTAGCTTATCAGAGGAGACTACGTTCAGTAAAGACTAACTTATAAACAAGCCTCACAAAAAAGACATTTTTTTTTATCCAGTTGACACCTCTATTGCTTGAAGGGGAATCACATCCAGTCTGTGTGTGGTCTTTAAATGACAGATTGCTTTAATCTTGCTAAACTAATGTAGATTAAAGGTGGTCTGAGAAGGAATCATCCTGAATGAGTCTACTCTCTTAGCTTAATTTCAAGCTGTCGGAGCAAGATCAGACCATTCAGGAGGAATCTTAGTGCCATTTTAACCTCATTTGCCCTCTTGTCTGATTATTATTTCAACCCAGGTTTATTTCCTCAAATGCTTGTTCTATGTTGGTGCTGACTGATCTGGAAGTTTGAAAGAAAAGGGAATAAGGTAAAGCTTGCTTTTAGGGTGGGATGACAGCAGGAGGCATGAGTGAGGCTGAGAAGGGAGTTCAGAACACCACCTGTTTCCCCACACAGAGTATAAACAACAAAAGCTTCTCTCCCTCTTTTCTGTGATGTCTGACGTTTAAACAAAGATTTGTTCTGAATCCCAGCAAAGTGGGCTTGAATTTTAATAATTCATTAGCTTTGATCCCTGGTGCTATCAAGGGAAATTACCTGACAATCCTTTCAGAGTTGCTCTCATATGTGAAGCTGCTGACTTTGTTCTGTTTGCTGTGAAGAGGCATACAGTAACCAAAACGCCCAAAGGCCTAAAAGTTGTTCCTTATTATCTTTATCAGAGCAATGTGTTGTAACGAGATGCATCATACCACACATGAGGTTTGATGGTGATATTTTAATTTTTTTTATGGTTGCTCTTATCCATTCAAAATAAATCAAAGCTTTAAAATGTTTCCTACCAGCTGTTCTGGAAAACCCTAAAACTACTCCGATAGAACAATGTTGCTGATGGACTCAAGAATTTTGAATTTATTATAGAAACTTTGCAGGTGACATGCATACATTTACATAGTTGTACAATCTGTATTATTGATGGACTAGTCATCCTTTTCTCAGTGTTTCCTTTTTCAGTTGCATTTAGACTTGTAGCTCATAGTTCTTATTATTTTATATGCACAATCTAGATTTATATTTAAAAAAACATAAGAGAAAGGCAGGCATGATTGCAAACAAAAGTTTTCTTCAAAGTGGTAATGTGTGACATGTGGAACACCAATAATCTTGCACCAATAATTTATATAGTGCAAATAAAGCAGCGGAAAATCTCTTTGTTAAACAGATCTTTCTGTACATTTTAAACTACTTCTAAAACAGAATTTCATGGACCGTATTTTCAAGTCCATCTCATTTGATTGATGGAATTACTAATACTTAGGATAAATGTGTTGATCATCATGTCTATGCCATGGAAATGTTTGCAGAGAACGATCACAGACTGGCCTAATAAAATGATCTTTTTCATTGATAAAGGACTCCTAAAAAACAAATTTTACATTTAAGAAACTTTATACCCACAAACAAACAAGTGTTTGATAGTCTGGTTTAGGGCTCCAACTAACAATAATTTTGCAATTTGATTAATCTGTTGATTATTTTTCAATTAATCGATTAATCATTTGAAAGCAAAAGGTTCTTTAAAGTAGACTTTTTACGAAATTAAACCAGGTGAAACTCAAGCTTTTCCACTTGAGCAAATTCTGCATATAGCATATTGACAGACAAATGTGTTTGTTTGTTTTTTATCTTAAATGCAAAATGTTTGTGTATTTCTTTACAATCTTGGCATAATTACTGTAAGTGGGTCGCTCTGTCAGCTATAGGCATGTTTTAGAGTCTCTAAGCTTCAGTTAACGATTGATTGATTACGCAATTAGTTGACGATTATTTCAATAATCAATTAATCATGATTGATTGTTTCAGCCCAAAACTGGTTATTGACTGTGGAAGCTATGGGCTGTGATTGTCACATGAACCGTGTTGCGAACTCATCCAATGTCTATGTGTTTTTCATCTATTCAGCCAATATTCTAACTAAAAGCAAAAGGTCTAAATAGCAGGAACTCACTGACTTTTATCAAGATCACCTACTTTTCTTACATAAAGTGAGTTTGCTTTATGCTTTATATATTTGTTATCAGCCTCTAAAATATGATTTAAAACAAACTTTGAATAAATTATATAATGTATTGGGTCTAATTATCTGAGCATTGTCAGTTTTATTGTACTCATTTGTCCAGCATTAACCATTAATTGGAACAGTGAGCTCTTTTCATTGAATTATGTAGTGGCAAATAGTAACAGATGTTTTGGAAGTGAATTTCTTTTCTTTGTTAACACTAGACCGTGAGTAAACATAAGCATTTATTCATGAGTCTGACTCAATTGACACTGAAAGAAAATGTCTGTTCTCCAGACCTCAAACTTAAATATTGACCTTCATCCACAGTTAGGGAGAGGCTCATTTACACACTGATCAAACACAATCTCGCACCATGGTAGCACAATCACAAACACACTTTAACTCTGACTGGCTTTGGGTCACTCATTCAAATACTTGAGTTGGTTCTGAGTTTTGTTTAATCTACACTCAGTTTCAACACTGCCACTTTATGGAGTTAGGTGCATTAATGTTTGGGGCTAAATAGGAGCTCTGATTTATATGCAGGTCCATGTTCTTAGTTCAGTTAAAAGAAAAAAGCTAAACATTAAAATGTTTTAGCTCCAGCTCTCTCTGTCTTTCCATCTGTGTTTACCTACCTGCCTGCTCCAAACTGATTGGATGACAGTGCTGTGGCTGCATTCAGTCTATAAACAGAAAACTGGAAGCACCCTACATCATTGGTATTTTGTCCCCTTTTTTACCCTTGAATGTCCATATTAAGATTTTCAAGCTCAAAGCTCACCATTCTGTCTTATTTTATTTACTTAATTACTTCAGTTGAAAAACTGAGGTTTATTTTGGTTTGTGTGAAGGAAGGAACAAATGGCTGCATAATTTTTCCAGAGGACACAGAAACTAGGCTAAGGAATTAACTCATTAGACCCACAGAGATTAACTCTACTTTCATACAAAGGAGTTTGAATTTTAAAGGTTTATTTTTTTCTCTATTTGAAATGAAACGGTCATATTTCTCTAGATCTTCTAATCTCTGGATATATATATTTTTTAACTGAGGACAATGGAGGAACCTCCTTAACAGTGATTCCGAGTAACATTTAGATGTAAACTGAGATGGGTATGACAAACATTGTTATCACTTTCTGAGTCGCCTTCCTTGTTTCTGTTTCAGGAGGGGCTGGTTCCCTTCGTCTTACTGCCGCGCTCTCACCGAGCAACTCGTGAATAACAACAGGTAAGGGGACTCTGCATTCCAGCTAGCACACATACCGGCAGGTTTCATGTTGCAGCCAGCTGTATTGTTGGCTGCGTTTCCTCTAGTTACTCCTATTGAGGTGATAACCTTTCTAATCCCACGGGCTCTCTCCTGTTGCTCAACTTTTGATTCCTGTTATCTTAAAGTCACATTCTGGGAAAAAGGATAAAAGAGAGCAAGAAAGAAAGTTGGTTTTAAGGAAGCTAATGTCTGACTGACTTGTTAGGCTCAAATTTCTTCTTAGTTAGCCAAACATTAGCGTTACAATATGAAGTTTTGGGTAGACACTTAATGTTGCCACAAAGACTTTGAGTTTCTAACCAACGTATATTTCAACATATTTCTTTTTCAGAATGAACTGTAAACACAACACTCAACTTTAATGAATTTGAAAAGCAGTAATTTAGTACACAACTTATAATCTAGTTGAATTCTGTCATATCCTTGCATCGTCAGAATCATATTTAGTGTGGAAAGTGAAATTTCTGTACATATACCCTCATATTATTTGAATAATTTTTCTTACCGGGTTGCAGAATGTCATGTGTTTATTCTGTAACAATTTTATTTGGATTTTGGCCTTGTTGTGTTGAACTTTTAAATCTTTATCTTGTTGTTTTGGCGGTATACCACTGTGCTGATTGTTTTATATGCTTTGTGCATTTCACCGGTATGAATGTACCATAACCATATTTGAAAGAATAAAAGAGCACGAACCCATACAGTACCCCCTGACCCCACTAGAGGACGTTTCCCACTCTTTGCAGGCCTGTGGACTAGAGCATTGTTGGTTCCTGGGCTGTTCCTGCTTACTGACATTAATATCCCTGCATCTATAGTGGACATTTTAGCTCAGGTTGTTGATAGCAGGCTAGAAATTAATGTTTTAACAGAACAATAATCCCAACAGACATAAATACAGATTTGGGAATTAATATTGAGCTCCAACAATGATCTTCTGGAATTAACCTGACTTTATTCCTATTGGAAATTTTTTGGCTGTGCATAAATGTTTTTTTAATGCCAGGAAATCACCAAATTAGATTAAGTTTCTTATGCAAGATACTAAAGGCCGTATATCCAGCATTACAAGGGCTCCTCCCTATAATGATTGTATAGCTGCACCAGTCACCAGTCATTATTCTGACCTGATCAGTTCAAAGGAAACCTACATATACTTCAACCCCTTGATAATAGAATTCTCCTCTCATCCCCTTCCACTCTTTTTCCTCCATAGTGAGACTGGCGGCCATCACCGCAGCAGAAGTGTAGTCAACCTGCACCATCAGGACTCAGAGACAGACGAAGCGACTATGGTGCTACCACAGACGGACTACTTTGGCGTCAAGAGCAACGCGCTGTCGGCCGCAAGCGTCACTACAAATAACCACCAGCACTCCCCAACACCCTCAGCAGCATCCTCCTTCTCCTCTGATCAGAACATGGTGAGTCAGCTGCAGGAGACTTGGTCATCCTGCCATTTCTTGGACATTTGCACAGGTTTTAAAGGAGTCCTTTCAAATGTCGACTACAAGAGTTTTGAGAATGTTACTGTGTACAGAACAATCTAATCTGCTGTGTTCTGACAAAGCTTTCTCCTGTTCTGGCCCAGTTGGCTTTGTAAAGTTTATGTCTCACTTGATATCCTCAGCACCGTGACTACAGTACCCTCAGCTGTACAGCCTTATCTTGACTGCTGATGAAGGTACATGTGTGTGTAGGTGGTGTCAGATGAGCTTTATGTGTCTGTCCAGGAAACCTGAACACAACATATTCTCAGTGTAGCATGACCATACACAGTCAGTTATTGGGATTCAGTTTGTTGCATACTGTATAGATACACTGTAACCCTGCAAATAGTGGATAATATCTATTTTTCTTTTTCTGTTTTTTTAATATTCTCACTTTATTTGTGTGATAAGACAACTTAACTGCTCCTACTGTAGGTGTTAAACAATAAGAGGATAGAATCCAAATATATTTTGTCATACTTCAAGAAGTTCTCACCTTCTCTTTACAATAACACACAAGATGTGCAATACATATATAAAAAAAAAAAAAAACTCCCACTTTCCTTAAATTGCATTAGTGTTGTGACTCATGTCAGTCTGTCATACTTATTGTCATTGTGGTCATCAGTCTAGATTATTTACCAACAGTGCATTGCAAATTGATAATGCACCTGGAATTATTATTTTTGTCACATTACAACAACAAATACTATAAGTGATTTGGGGGAATTTCATGTTAGTAGACTAAGGCAAAGCATCTTCTTATGAAACAAAACAAAAACTTCAAATTCACATATAAATCATGAAGAAAAGCATTCCCTCAGACTGAGGCTGCCACTACCATGCATCAATATGGAAATTACATGATCATACATTGTTCATAAGCGAAAAACTTTCGTTTTTTTTAGAATCATCAGATTAGAGTACTTCCATCCATGTTTTCCTTGTGTCCACTTGATGCCTTGATGGAGAAAGAGCTTTGGGCTTATTAAGGCGGTCTTTTTGCCACTTTTCCATTAAGGCTAGATCTACAGACATCTTACTTCGTGACAGCTTCTCCTATCTGACCTGCGGGTCTTTTCAGTTCTTCCAGAATCTTCAGTTTAGGTTTCCCTAAAAAAAATAAAATAAAAACCAACAGGGAGCATGCTGCCTCTATTTTAAACAATTTCCTTAAAATTCCTGTGTTTCATCAGTTCAAAAACTGAAAGAAGATTTACACTTTACATAAGTTGATTTACAAAATATTAAAGATTAATATTAATATATTATTTTCTAAAATAATTCAAATATGTTTTTCTAATAACATTTATTTAAAATACTGGAAACATCAGTGTCTCTTTCACAGCCATTTCCATTTCCATCACCTCCGTACAAATGACCTTTTATTTGCATGCAATGCAAAGTCTCAGGCAAAGCTGCGGTTTCTCGCTGCAGAAGCTTTATAGTTTTCATCAGCCGGATGAATGTAAATGTGTTTGCGGTACGGCGCTCCCAAATGACTTTTTATGATGTTTTACAAGCATGACATGGCATCATACAGACTGTTCAGACTACCTGTGGGACACTTTGTTTTTACATTCTGTGTCAATTACTCTATGCCTATAGAAGGCTCAGAAATGTGTAATATAAAACTTTTGATCATTATTTACTAGTCATCTGATTCACTGCTATAGACAGACCTGCTGCAACGGGGACCAATGTTTTCAGAGCAGGTTCATTGGTCTATATCCGGCCCACGTATTTCTATCACTGGCTAGGATTTGTTTTGCACTTCCACTCAGATGAATCTGATACCCCTCTTCCATCTCTCTCCTTGTTCCTCTTTCAGTTTTTCTCACAGTCCTTTCAACATCTGACTCACTTGTTCATTCATCTTCATACTTCCATCCCTATTCAATCATAAACCTCACGCACACTGATTGCAGAACAGACTCGTGTGGGAAAAGATCCCTTACAGTTGATTAGATTATAAAACCCTAGTTTATGTTCCTCGTTCTCCTAGTGGGTGGCTGTTAAGTAGGTTGAAAACTAAATAAAGTTTCATCACTTTTATAAAGTATTGTTACTTTCAAACAATTCCGAATGTTTACATGTTTTTAACACCTGTAGGTGTTAAATAGCTTATTTTCTCTTAGTCAATAGACCAGTGTTTATTTCTACTGGGACAATAGATGAAAAACAGCCTCTTGGCTAATTCTGGTGCATTTGCAGCAATGCTAATTAATGCACACTGTCCCTGTTAACTAAATGAATAAAGATAAATTACTGAGGCATTAGAGGTGGAGAAGGTTTTTGTATATTTTTTATATGCCATAAAACATAAAACTGATTAAAAGCTGTATCAGTCGCTTTTTTTTTTTACCTGATGATGCAGTTAATCCAGATGTGGTGAGAAGGGTGATAGGCCCAAGCAAAGTAGGTGTGGGGGTGGGGAGGTGGGGTTACCCTGGAATGCTCTTTCACCATGACAGAAAAATGCGCCCTCACTGGTTTTCATGTTTAGTGTGAAGGCAAAGATAACATCTAACAGGAATCAATAAACGGAGAGAGAAAGAGAAGTCCAGGCTAAGAAGGGAGAAAACTAGATGCAGATATTTGATAGTTAAACTAGAGAAATCGATGGAAACAAGCCTTTCTCTTCTACCTGCTAATAATAGATCTTCCATTATCTAGAGAAGAAATGCTAAAATAGATTCCAGTGTCTAGAATTCAGATTTTCTCTAGATGTAGTGGATGAAAAATTGGGTTCAATAAATCTAGAGCAGCTGATGAACAATCACAATCCTCAGCATAAAAATAAAAAAACACACTAATACTAACCTAAACAACCAGAGAACAAACTCTCTATTCACTCCTGCCATCTTGTGGACACTCATAGGTACTGCAGACTGGAAAGTTCTTGAAATAAAAAGCATTTTTTTAAGGGGAAAAGAGTGTTGATTTCACTTGCAGGTTATAGTTTCAAAATATTTTTTGTAGAGAATTTTTTTTTTTTTTAAGTGACATTTTTTCTACTGAATTGACAAACTAAACTTATCGGAGTATAATGTTTGCTATGAGCTGAAACAAAAACACTAACAATTGTACAGTTTCCAGAAGGGAAACTTTTTGTTTAGCAGGATATCGGCTCAGTCATCCAGATGACAAAAACATGGAAAATTAAAACACTCTAGACTCGGAAAAAAGATAATATTTTTCTCAAAGAGAAAAAACATGTTTGTTTTTTGTTTGTTGGTTTTTTTAACTGGGGGCCCTGCCTCAGGAAAAAACAACAATCATCTTTCCACTTCAGATTTATCATTGACCAGACGAAACAGCTGGTCGGCTAACCTTGAACCTGCCTACACACTGTAAGAATAAATAACGTCATTTGTGTAGGCTGGAAAATAGAATGTAGTAGAAACAAGCAACATTTTATTTTCAGCAAACTTACAATGGTAATCACAAATGATGTAGGTGTTTTGGAGAGTCTGCTAAATATTAACATCTTTCTATCCCTTCTGATGGCTTCATTTATGGTTTTATTCTAACCTGAAAATTATGATGATTTGGTTTCCCTTTTCTCTCTACACAAGTGCGTCACTGAGGCCAGCTAATAGAAATAAATACATGTTTTTAATAAAACAACCAAATGACTTGCTAAAACTGTAAAGGTTGTTTTTCCTGCTAATACCTTAAACTCTGACATGCTGACATCTTCTGTTAACTCCTCCTGTTCATGCAGACTGGCATAAATCCCAATTTATGACGGCTTGCGTGGCCCATTGTGGAACAGAGTTGAATTTCCAGAAGCTCCAGGTTACATGTGTCTCCTGATGACGCAAGTAAACGTGTTTTTGCACGCCAGTATCAAACCCATTCATGCATTATTCCATTCCTCTATAGTCCATGATTGTGTTTGCAATTAGAAACGTGTACAAGTAAAACCAAAGTTAATGACATCAGAGGTTTAGCAGTAAAGAAAGGTCTTCATAATCCACATAGATCTCCATGCTTTAAAAGCTCAACATCCCAGGTGTTCATTCGTATTTTAGGTAATAGTCCAACACAAAGTAGCACATAATAGTCACATAGAAAGAAAGTGATGCATGGTGTTAAAATGTTCAAATAAAAATCAGAAAAGTAGGGTATTTATTTGTGTTTCACTTCCCAATTTAATGTGCTTTAGAACTTCATTTTATCTCTCTATTGGGTGTTTACCTCTATTGTTCCTTTAGTTCTGTCAGATTGAACATCTCTGAATGCAATTTTTTATGTTTTGCAACTGATTGAGTTGACCTGGACTTGGATTGGGCCACTTTATTGCCTTATATTTATTTTTGATGTAAAGTTATATCTTAGCTCTGGTTGAATATTTAAGGCTGTTAAATTCTGCCTCTGCTTCCGATCTTTTTCAACTTCTAACAGATTTCCTTTCTGGATTTCTCTTTATTTTGCTTCATTCATATTTGACCAGTTTCTGTATTCATAATGACGCTGGCCACACTATGTGGCTTAAACCATTCCTTCACAATGAGATGGTTTGTAGTGTTAGTTTTCCACCAACTAAAGCTGTTTGCATAATGCTGTTTGAACACTAATGTTCACAAACTAACCTCTGAGGCTTTCCAGAATGTCTCTACTCATGATAGCTCTATGTTGCAGTATCTCTGTGTTCATTTGGGCAAGACAGACAGCTCTTTGAGGATTATGTTCTCAGATTTCTCGAGTGTCAAATGTAATTTAGTCCCTGGATGCATCAAAGATGGACAAGAAGCTTCTGTAAGTACAGGGAGACGGTGAACCGCTTTGTTGCATGGTTTGGAAACAATGATCTGATCCTGAATGTGAACAAAAAAAGGGAGATGATTGTTGATTTAAAAACAAACAGGAACAAGTTAAATCCTTTTTACATCATGGGAAAAAAAGAGGGGGCGGTGGAGGACTATAAATACCTCTTTGTTCACCTGGACAACAGACGATACTGGAGATCTCACTACCAGCAGGGACAGAGCAGATTGTACTTCCAGAGTTTAGGTCGTTTGGTATTTGCAGCAAGATGCTGCAAATCTCATTGAAGTCTGTTTATGGAGAGTGTTGTCACTTCTGACATCTTCTGGTGGGGTAATGACATCAAGCTGATAAGGAAGGCCGCTAAACCTGGAGGGGATTTTAACAAAGAAGAGTTCTTCATACAATGAAGACTATTATGGAAAAACTGTGAACATAACCTTAGTTAAACTGTTATACAACATAGTGTCTTCTGTCAGAGGCCTGTCTAGACCTTCTGTAACACAGGAGATCCTTCCTGCCTGCAGTCATCAGCATCTACAAACAACTGTTAAAGAAACTCTTAAGTTAAATAATTTGTTTTCTTTTTAGGATCAATACAGTATTTTTGAACTCGATTGAATTCTTACGAATAGTTGCTTTTATCCTTAGGTTAGATTCCAAACTTTTTAGTTTAAATTATAGTAATTAATATATTGATCCACACTTTTTCATATTTTCATTTGAATTTCAAGTCATTTTATCATTTTCCCCGTCATCATTATGTTGCTCAGCATAAAATCTTTAAAAAAAACTCTGAAGCTTGAGGCTGTAATGTGATAAGAAGTTGGGAGGTTGTAGGTAGAAATACTTTTGCAGTGCACTGTTAAAACTTAACTAGTTACCGGAAACATTCGCATGGCTCATCTTGTAACAGACTTGAATTTCTCGAAGTTCCAGGTTCCTCATGATTGCTTGTGACGTAGTCATTTTTTTTTTCTTTGCACGCTGGTGTCAAACTCATTCATCCATTGTTCTGACCTGCTCAGTCTCTCTCAATGTTTTGTATTGTAAACTTACAAACGTTTGATCAGCAGTTATGGGTTGACCTGTGGATTTGTACCGTTTTTCATGGTTTTGTGACTCACTGTAACATTTTACATCAGCCTTGCCTGTAATGCAGATCTGACGAGTATTTTTTTTTTTTTTCCCCACAGGCTGCACAGTCCAACGGCACCTCGAGACCTCCGCCTGCTTTCCTCGCGTAGGTTATCTACTATCAACATTTTGGCTTTTGTTACACTCAGACATGTGTTCATCACGCTTCTTGTCTGTTTTTCACAGCGGAGGGAATCCATTTGCAACAGTCAGGCTAAGACCAACTGTGACTAATGATCGCTCTGCACCCGTCATCTGATTTCCAACATTTCCATCCATCATCAGGCTCCTCAACTAATAGTTTGGCCTCTGCTCTCATGATCCAGCAGCTTTTTCTGGGTCAGGGCAGAGGAGAAAAAGGCCATTTAAATCTGCTACAAACTGATATAGTAAACTAAGTATTTTGGGACCATTTTAGTAACTAAAAGATGTTCATCTATTTATGATAGATATATATTTTCTATGTCTATATTTTAGTCGGTCTGTGTGTGGTGGTGAGATTTAAACGACCACATTCTCACTTGCACTTGAGACATGGACGAATTAAAAACTGGTCAAAGAGAATCTTGCATTGTATTTATGCTGTTGACGTTGCTTTGTCCGACTGTTAGAAATCATTCTGTGGTCCAAGGACAATAATGTGGAGGACTCCTACATTTCACCTTTAGGTCCTAATGTGTAGACTCGCTGTCGAAGGTCACAGAAATGTTATTAGGAGAAGGATGATGTAAAACAAGTTTGTCCTAAAAGGCACAAAGGGATTTTCTTTGCTTTTTTTGTATAGACATTTAATAGATTCTTTTTTGTCCATTGCCATCTAAATTAAGGGTTGTTTTTTTGTTTTTTTGTAATGTGGACACTTGTGCCTTAATGCTCCATATATACTGTAAAGTATATTTACCTGTACTTTATCCCAGCTGTGCAATTCTGATATAACCATCTCAGATGGTGAAACCTTATGTATGCTTTTCCATCACTCATTACATCCTTCTTATAATTTGCTATGTAACAAATAAAGATTTATTTCTTCAGCTTGGTGTTTTAATGTATACATACAGAGGATTTCACCTTAATCTAAATCATTCCCAGTCCCTCCAAATTTAAAAATACTTAAGATTCTTCAATTCAGGGTCATTTTTTTCTTTGTGGGTCATTTTCCTAGTTTGCCTTGTGGTCAAACCTTGGCCATCACTCAATGGGCTTAAAAATGATCATTGCTTGTTTCTGTTGAATTCACTGGAATTTTTTTTATTTTATTTACAAAAGATGAATTCTGAAATTCTAGGACAATAGATGAAGCCAGACTGTTATCTACTGTGAGGAGAGCATCCTGGCTTCACCTGTTCCTTAAATGCTAAGCCAGACCGATGACAGACAGAATCAAGCTAAATGCAGGTCTGTAGTTTTCTTAAAGAAACCATGTTGTCGATCACAGATAAACTTACTACTAAGAAATAACCGAGTGACTAAATGCCTTAACATATTAAAATACACATCCCCTAACCACTTCTCTTAACTTATAAGGTCTTAATTTGAATAGTTATTTGGAATTCTCCTCAAATTAACAATTTCCTACTTTTTTTTTCTTTCTTTCAGCACTTGGTTTATATGGTCTGTAGTGATTTAATGCTTTGCCTTCAAAGATGGAAACAGAATAGTGGGTACAGCATTAAAGTCATCTAGCTACAATTTTTTTATAAACATTGGATATAGTTTCTTTTTTACAATATTGTTGTTCTGAGAATTCACATCAGAAAAAAATGAATGGAGAGCAATATCAGAAGGGAGAATCAGGTTAGGAAGCAATAAGATTTTAGATAATGGAATTCATACCAATGTAGGTATTTGGCAGTAAGCCTAACCATAACTCACCATTACCTGAATAAGGTTGCAAGTTCCCAGTTCAATCCCCACAACCTGCACTCTGGGTCCCTGAGCAAAGAACCTTAACCCTGCTCCCCAAGCGCCGCACAATGGCAGCCTACTGCTCCCCAAGGGGATGGGCTAAATGGACAGGTTTGATTATTATTATTATTATGACTCACTATTAACTGAACAGTGAGGATTTTCTGTTAAAAAAATGTGACCCAGAGAGGCCTTATATTTTAAGCTTGTGCAGTCCATCGCAGCAGAAAAATTATAAATGAATGAGGTGATTGACTGAGGTACTTGAGTATCAAAAAAAAAAAAAATATATATATATATATATATATATATATATATATTCTCTTTTTAATGTTGGCTAATAAAATAGGGCTAAAACAATCATGATTACCGGTAGTCGATTATGGAAATCAACTAATTTAGTAATCAAATACTGATTAATCGTTAACTGGAGTATAGAAACTCTAAAGCATGCCTTTAGCCTACAGAGCAACCTTTCCTTGAGCAGCAATTATAACCAAATTATGTAAATTAAATTATGTTAACAAAAATATGTAAAAATTTTGCATTAAAATAAAAATCTTTCCCCTCTGTCCAGAACTCCTCGAATGAAAAAGTTTTAGTTTCACCTGGTTTAATTTTGCAAAAAGGCTTCTTTAAGGAACCTTTTGTTATCCGATTATTAATCAAAAAAATAATCAGATTAATAGATTTGCAGAGTTATCGTTAGTTGCAGCCCTATGATAAACTATACAACCTACAGATGGGGTAATAGATTCACTGATAAAAATCTTGTTGGTTTCTGATTGGTGGCTCTGCTGATTGAGCAGATAGAACACCAGGATTAAATAAGTCTGGATAGAAGCATGGTCAGGAGCAGACTAGCTACACAGAATACTCAAATTCACCATGGATACTGCTTTCACAAAGACAAGTTGAGGTTCAATTAGACCAGGATATACATAAAATCCTTAATTAATCCCTTATCTTGGTTTTGTCCAAAAAGGCTCAGACTATGGAGTGCACAGCAGAGCATTTTTCTGTCAACATCAACCTGTACTCTGATCTAACGCTCTCTTTTATGATCTGTTAATTAAGTGGACACCCTCAATGTCTTGGTAGTTTTCATACTGAGCCATAACCTTCCATAGACCAATGCATATGTGCCATAAATTTCTTAAAAATGTTTAAAATTGCAAAACTATTTAGGAGACTTATGGAAAGCTGGTGGTTGCTCTGGATTTTATTCAGGGTAATTAAAGGAATAGACCATAATTGTTTGCATCCAAATTAAACTTTGAAGTTTGTGGTTCAGATGAAAAGAATTTCATCAGCTTAAGGGGTTTGAATAGTTTTGCAAAGTCATCCTGTTTTAGAAGCGGGGAAAAAAAAAACCAAGAGACAGACATATGTTGCATTACTTTTTAATTACAGTAACTCATATAAAAAGTAAGAACCTCAATCATAAGAGCGTGCTTAGTGTGTTTCCTAACGCCAATTCTCTTTTACTCCCAACAACTAATTTCTTCTTCGTCATCAAATTGCTCACGATCCTGCAGTGGAGGAAGACGTAGACAGATACATCTGTCAATTGATTGTCAGGCTGGGAGGAAGGTGATTTGTCGCAGACAGAAACATGGAGGTTAAAATCTGAGGATATACCAGTTTTTAACTTTTATTCAGTCCTCCACGGGGTTAAAAGAGGAGGTTGCGCTTTAACAAAAACATTCCTCTCTAAGTAAATCCAATATGGTGAGGTTGTAAAAGTCCAGGGCATGTCAGATTGTGTGTACCTGAGATCTGCAGCGGCCCTGGAGAAGCACAACCCAGCAGATTCACCACTGGACAAACTGTCAGTGCAAAATATGGCCCCAAAAATGTATATCAACAAAAAAAATAAAAAATATCAGGCAAAATGCTTCATCAGGGATAAGTCCACTGTTCCATCCGGAGCAGGATACATCTATAGATATTCCTTTTTACTATAATTCACAGCATTACTTCAATGCCTACGTGAACCACACATTTGACACAAAAAAGCTGAGTACAATGCTTACTAAAAGGTAGCGGCTGCAAGCAAATATAAAGAATTAAGACAAAAAAAAAATAATTAATGGCCTCAGACTGTTAAAAAGAAAAAATCTGCTCAGACCTGGGAAAATAAAAATGATGGAATCTGATCACCCGGCATGTAGCGAAGGCACTGACAACAGCTGGACTCTTGTGTGATAACATAGATACTAAACTTGCAGATGAAAAATAGATTTCATATACTGTAATTCACTTTGTAATCTTTATCATTTGTTATTTTGTATGCATGTGAATGAGAGAAGTGCATGAAAGGGCTGCGGTTTGGTCCCTCTAGCCGAAGGTGGCGCCACAGTTGGGACACCTTCTCTGACGCAGCGCGAAACAGAAGAGGATGCCCAAAGGGAAGAAGAAGATGGCGCACAGGATCCCCAGGCAGGTGAAGTCATCCTCGAGAACACCGACCCTGTGAAACAGAACAGAAAGATGGATTCTGGTTCTTTGAAAAGAAACTGTTTCACTGTTCTATGGAATCATCCAGAACAGGAAATAGAAAGCTTCTGTTGGATATAAAGTTTCTCTAAAATGAACCAATAAAATATAATAAACTCTTATCAGTTTTGTTTTCTACTTTAATATTAATAAATTCACAACTTAAAAGTATTTTACAATTCATTTTGACAAATAAAAAACAAAACAATTTCTGTCTATGTTTAGGGTTAAAAGGTTTCTTGACATTGATATTTATGGATATATATAGAAAAACAGCCCCATTTTCAACCAAAATGCAAAACAACAGCTATGCAACAACGAGCAAGAGTATCTTCAGCAATAAACAAAGCACTGACTGGGTCATATGACGGCAACATAACAACCAGTGTGGCCTGCAGCCTTTAGAAGATACAGGAAGTGAAAGGCTCTGCTTATAAACATCAGATTTAGAATTATTTTAAACATTATTATTAACAAGAACTTTACTTTGCTTCAAATTCCTCTTGCTTTGCACATCTAAACTCAAAACATATGCTGATTCTAACTCAAGTTTATTCCGATTAGATAGAATAGGTGACCATCAAACCAAAACTTGCTATAGATTATTAAATGGATTTATATCCAGGTTTTAACCAGCCCATTCCAAATTAACACATACATTTAAACCATCCCACAAAGGCTTTGATTGTATGTTTAGGCTACCTACAAGTTCTCCTCCATTTACCCTCCTATCAGCTCATTAGTTTCCCATTCTGTGCAGAAGAGAAGCATTTTCACAGCATCATTCTGCTAACACAATGTCTAACAGTGGCTAAAGTATGTTAAGGCTTGTGTGCTGAGAAAGTTGTCATTTGGTCACAAGACTGCACCACAAGAAACCAGATGTCTTTGGAGCAAATCAACGCACAGCGAACAACAGAGGAAACTTCGATTTTAAAAAAGTATAAATTTGAAACCTAATTTAAAGTAACACAGTAACTTTTCAACCAAGTTTCCACCTAATTTGTGATATTTTAACTGATTTTCAAAGTCAATATATGGTTCTTGCTGCATATCGATGCTCTTCTCAAACACCAGCTTTATGTAGCTTGAAAGGGTCCGATCCGTCACTGAATGGGTCATGTGACCCAGAACGCAGCTTTACAGCAGGATGAGCTTTGCTCAAAATCAGCAGCTAACTAAGCTAAAAGTTATTAGGTCACAAAACAGATATGATGCTTATTGGTTAGATGTATTTTTGGTTCTTTGATGTAGGATTTAATCCAGATGAGTGAATGTGGCCTTGTCTTTACAATGAGTTTTCAATCTGCTGGTCCGAAGTGAAGTGCTGTTTAATTTTGTGACAGTGCAGTGTTGCCAGTGGGGTTCAGAGGGGCTTAACATAAAGGTTAGAGGTCTAATGCTTCTAGAGGCTAAAACTTACACTGTGTCGCTTTAAGACTCTGCTTAAAGTCATTTAAAAAATAAAAAGCATCCTAATTATGTTAGGATTTACAAAAAAAAAGCGTGTAAGTTGGGTCCATCATTGCACCACTCTCGTTTCCTGCAATGCAATATTTTTAAGTGTTTGCAGATGATATCTGCAATGCTGAAGGCAGGAAGAATTAAAAACATGCCCATGATGCAAGTGTGGACTAATAGTCTGCCAGCATTTCCACACACCCCACAAAAAAAGAAAAAAAAAAAGGAATGCATTATCATTTATGCAGCTCCTCCAATATCAAAACGTTTAACTATCTTGAGTTTTTGGGTCATCTGAAATGTCATCAGCTATACAGAGTTCTGCCTTTTATTGATACAATGGTAAACTGCTGATAAGATTTTCCTCTGGCTTTATATAGTTTGACTACTTGCTCTTTCATAGTATCAGGCTTTCTGCTTACAAGAAGGGATGTTACTAAAGTGTTTTCTTCTTTTAGGGAAATGACAACATGTCGCCATGTTTAATCATGACAAATTTTCCTTCTTATTTTTGGTCATACTTTCACATAAAACTGTAGTTCTTCATTTTAAAAATATCAACTTGAGTCATTTGACTCATCTTACTGTAAATATGTGACTTCATGGGTTTCAAAGTCAGCCAGATAGGAGGTTATTGAGTAAAGTTCCTGTAAACGCTGCATGTTTACTTGAACAAAGTGATTATGTAGATGTAAAGCATCTGAGGCAGCATTGACCCTTCACGAGGGACCAAAGAATTTAAATCACGACCTGTTCAGTTTGTTCCAGAACATGCAACCTTATTGTTCCATTTTACTTTCCCATCTTTGTGAGCGTATCCCGCAGCAACCTTTGGTCCAATCACATGTCACTCAGCTGACTGACAGGACATTGACTCACCGCAATGAAACTAACAAGAAACTCCCAAAACTGAAAGTCACCCTTGCTTATCTTATCTTTTCCCTGATAGCTTCCTGATACGTGCGGCAGCAATGAAAATAAACACACATCGCTTACAGCCTATTCACAGTAAGCACATCACTCTCCAGATGTCTCCTTATGAAGAGTAACGCTGCTTAATTATGAGTTTCAGACATATTGGTATGTTTGTGTCCTCACCTGCAGGCTGGGCAGCCCCCCACCACCACTACAGAGGGCTGGATGATGGCGTAGGTGGATGTGTACGGCTGCTGGGAAACAGCGGGGCCCATCTGAGCCGGAGGGAATCCTGAAACATCCCCAAATATGAGGAACATTATGATTACCTCTTTCATTCTAATTTAACACAGATTTAAGTAGATTTAAATGAGAAAATCTGGAGTTTTGCAATAATTTAAGTAGACAGTAGCACATTGAAACATATACCATTTAGACAGAGCAAATTTTTCAAATTAATTCAATAGGCGACTTTATTTTCCCTCGTTAAATTTTTTTTATAGAGGTGTTAGTAGGGATTCAAACAAATTGAATAAATAACATGATTAATCCCAATTTTTTTATATCAAAGCTTAGACATTTAGCCCTTATATACTAAACATGGCGGGAATTCAAACTGATCAAACAAAGTTGATTTGATCTAACCACTAGCCATCGATTGGTGCAGTCCTCTGTTTTAGTTCTTTACTTTTTTACCTTTACAATGAATGAATTCTCCATTTTAAACAGGTAGGAGCAAATATCAAATTTAGACCCAGTCTTTACATTTTGTCTGAGACCTGCAGTGGGGTTCAAAAGAATATAATTCATACCAAATTTATACTTGGGGTAATTTAGAAGTATTGGCTTTGGCTGAGCTGGAGTCCTGACTCCTTTTCTACTGAAATAAATATGTGGTAAAGATTAGGGTGATTGTGTAGAGACCTTCTGATGTTAAACGCTTTGAGTTAATATCAAAAGATGAGCAGTCCTAAGTATATGGGCCAGAAAAAATTAAAAAGTCAGCAATTATAAGGAAGATTTTTCCATTGATTTAAAAAGAGCATGAATAATTGTTTACATCCAATTCACTAAAATAAAAAAATAAAAAAACAACTGTTAAAAATACATCATTTTTTTTTGCTTTAACATTGAGAGAGGCTGGTCTAATGTCATTAAAATTTGCTTGAATTAAGATAATTTGCTATCTGAATTTGATAGAGGTGTTTTATTAAGATAAGATCTCTTGGGTCCTGGAGGCCCTGACTTAGTTTACTTTTGCTTTTGGCTAAATCTGTCTAAGGAATAGCCATGTAGCTTTTTATGATCTTTAAATATTTAGTGTTTAGAATCATTAAAATTCTTAAATCAAACCCTAGATATGCCTTATTCCTCAGATCATCACTACTCTGTGATACAATATCTAATTCATTGTTAACCTTCTAGAGGTGCAAAGCTTTATGTTTTCTGGATCTTTTAAAAAAAGTTTCACCTGCTAATTCTGATTTTGAAATACTAATACTAATACCAGACTCAATTTTACTTGTCAGAGATTTGCTGAAGTAGACGATAGATGATGGTTAAGAACAGTTTTAAATGTTAGTATCAGACAATTTCCAATCACATAAAATTAAGGAAATCTGGACTGATCGATTTGCACCCCATTTTCATTCTTTTCAATAAATGCATTCATATTCAACTATATTCGACTAATTGTTGAAAATAATTAAATAAATGAAGATATTCTTGTTTTCCTCGTTTGATGTTCGATTCAAACTCATCATCTTCCTGCACATCTATAGCCTGAGTCACATCTCCTCTTTTGAACAAAAAAGATCCTCTGTTTAAGTCAATTTAGGGAAAATAAAGTAACGCATGACAGAATTCTTAGGTTTTCCACTGTTTTTCACCACTTGTTATACATCCGATTATGCAACATTAGGGGACTTTGACACTTTAATCAGAGTTCCAGCTGGACACACACCTGCTCTGTTAAAGGACAAGCTGAAACAGGTCTGGTTTGATCTACTCAGGGGAGGAGCTAGATGGGGGGCAAAGGGTGGACATGGCCACCCTTAGCCAATCATTGGCCACCCCTACCATTTAGTCCCCTCTAATACAGACAGTGGCAGCAGTAATACTCTCAAGTGGAATATTCAAAACATCTTAAATTTCTATATATTAACAAATACTTGACAACAAAAACACTGTGGTTAATTATACACATTAAAATACTAACATTAAAGATTTCAAGCAGAAATAGATTTTGAGTTTTATGGGGTAAAGAGAATATGACGTGTCTCTGCAAGTCAACTAGGAATCTTCAGTAAAATCATAGATAAATTACTATAAACATATTAAATAATCAATTTATGTAGATATTAGTACTTGTAAATATCAATTTTATGCAGAATGATTACTGATAAAAGTAGGTAAGTAATGACAATTGAAAAGATGTTCGCCCCAGAACTCAAACCTGAAAGGATTTTATCCACTATACCTTTTACCTAGAAAGCATGAATGTATAAAAATATGTGTCTATTTGTTAGCAAAGGCTGTAGAAAAGTATAGTTTGTCTTTATTTAGAAAAAAGGATGTTTTGCTCATTAATTTTCCTGTTGGAGCAGTGTAGATTGACCCTGAGGTTTTGGTGCCCCCCCTTAGTGTACATTGGTTATTGTCTGGCCACACTCATAAAACTTTTCTGGCTACTGGATCTACTAAAGTAAACATATCAGCAAAAATAGATATTTTATGTGGCTGCAGCGAACAATAACATGATGGCTTTTTTTTTTCTTTGTTTGTTTGTTTTACATTTAAGGCAGCCTTACTTCCTGTTTAAAAGCAGCTCTTATACAATCACGGTCAGGTGATTCTTCCTGACACACATTTATTAAAAAAAAAAACTGTACTACAAACATACAAAGTTTTTTTTTTTTTTTTTTTTTAACCAAAAATGGTTCATGACATGAGTACATTTACTTATTATAGAATAGTTTGATTATATTCAATTTTTTTTTATTACAAATGGCATAACAATCATTTCTATTGGGACACTACGCATGCGAAACTTTGAAGCGCATAAGGACTAATAAAGCATTATAGAGAATTAAAAATAAATGTTTTCCTGTTAGAGCAAGCTGCATTTATAATAATTGTCTGCTCAGTGTGTGAAACTAAGGGAGCAACTTGCCTGGGCCATCCGGGTAGTGGTAGGGCGGCGGGGCCGCAGCGGGGATGGCCCCGTACCCATGCTGCTGCTGCTGGGGGCCATACTCATGCGCACCCGGAACAGCGTTATAGGCGGGAGGTCTGTCCCGCAGGAGAGGTTTGTTGTCCACCATTTCACTCTCTTATCTTGTCTTGTCAGTGAAAGAAAAAACTCGAATAAAAAAATATATATATATATTCTGACTATTTGGTTTTTGTCACCCGACGCGCTGCGCGGTGAACCCCGAGGCTTAGTAGCGGAAAAAACAAAGAAAACACGCTGCGTAAAAATGAAACTTCGTCTCTCTCCATACGCCAACTTTGTCCCAAAGCGAAACAACAAATCTTCACCGAATGTCCTCCAGTTAGAACGGGAATGATCGCGGTTGTTATAGCAACGGCTAACTTAAATCCATTTCCCTGTTTGAAGTTGGTCCTTTTGTCCACAAACAGCAGCCAAGCAGCATCGTAGCACCTAAAAAAAGTCAGCTGGAAGTCAGAAAGGCTTTTCCTTTCTGTCTGGATTGTCAGAAGAAAAGAGTCATGTGATGGGCTGCTGTTGCGCCCGCATTGAAAGGCTTCTTAAAGGGATAGCACACAAAAACAAAGCCGTTTAGCCTTTATGGCAAAACATTTATATATGTAATGAAAGTCTTGAGAGCCAGATGACTAAAAAGTTGCTACTTTAGAATACGTATCCTTGTATTTGAATTTGAATTGTAGAATTAAAAAAAAATTCTTATAGAAATTATACAAATAATACGTACAGATAAAACTCTTCTGAGTAGAGACAATAGGAATATGGTACCTAAAGGGAAAACATCTATAAATATGTAGTCAAAGTCTTTGAGAGCCAGATGACTAAAAGTTGGCACTTTAGAATATGTATCCTTGTATTTGAACTTGAATTGTAGTCTTAAAAAAAATTCTTATTGAAATTCTAGAAATAACACACACAGATAAAACACTTCTTAGTAGAGACTATAGGAATATGGTACCTAATAAACTTTGATCTATCTTCTTATAGGTTTTAACAGGTCCACCTGTCAGTCTGAACATATTGCATATATTTGGCAAAATCACCGTAAATAATCTAACAGGGTTGGTGGAAGGTGGAGACCCACTTTTTTATTGCCACATCTCTCCCTCTGGAATTCAAAACACAATTCTAATGCGAGAAATGAGAATTCTTGATGAATAAAGGCCCATTCATACCTCACGTAAAAGACGGATACGGATACGTGTGGAGTGTTTCATACGTTCTAACCGTCGATTTCGTCCGTACTTTGACACGAAAATTGGGAGCTTACGCTTACGGACGAAACGGATCAATACGGAGCAATACTACCGGAAACGGTGGGGGCGCTATTGAGTTTTTAGTACAAAATGTCAACAAAATCACAAAGAATGCAACAGAATCAAGTCTTGGACCATCGCCATGTTTTGATCAATGACGAATCATTGGCGCCCAGCACTGCCACCTAGAGGAAATACGGGTTATAGCGCACCTCAACGGACGGAGGTATGAAGGAGTCAACGGATAGAACGTACGGACAGAAATACGGACGTGCAGGCCAAACGTGAGGTATGAATGGGCCTTAAGATGGATTTTACAGCTTTTTCATAACAACTAGAAGAAAATGCTACTTCTGTCAAAAAGTATCTGTCATGGACTAACTGGTCAACTCGTGCTGAGATTTACAATACTGCAAAAAAATGTGCAATCATTGCGGAAAGAAAGGAGAAAGGATGAGAGAGACAGAGTGTGAGAGAGAGAGATGGTGACCATTAGTAAAGATATTGACTAAATACTTAATTGCTTGCCATATTTTGCTGCATGAAGCGCACTGCAGCGCCAACCTCTACCACAGACTACATCCTCCGCTATCGCCAGTTTGTTTAAATAACATAAATTATTTTTTGGACTGATAGGGAGTTTGGTTACTTAGAAAAATAAAATAAAAAATAAAATATTTGTATCTCGGTTTAAAAGGTCACTTTAAAAAACTCTTATGTGGAACACCTAACTAATTAGCCAACCTTTGACTGCCAAATATCCAGATACTGAAACAGAGTTTATAGAAGTTAATTGCAGTATTGCAATTAATACTTGCCTTTATTAATTTAATGGTTTAACCTACAAGTATTTTTTCACTTTGAAGTTATACTAGCAAGTATTAGTTACAACCTTGATTGATTACCTTGATAACACACTTTATAGTCAAAAAAATGTTTTGGCCCCTTAATTTGAACTTCCTATATTTAAATATACCTTCTCACACATTTCACAGCTGGAGATATAGAATAGCACCAATAAGCTTTATTTATAAGAGGACATTTAAAAAAAAGGCAAGACAATGTTGATGCGGATATAAACAGCTTAGTTCTTAGTTCGTTTTCTTGCTTTATTAGAGGTTCCTAGAGGGGAGAAAGTTCTAATACTTCTGAAGCCATTCTAGCCAACCTATTGCATGCACATAAAACGTTTTTGTTTTTTTTGTTTAAATTATTTCTACTTTTTTGTTGTTGTTTTTTTTATTTTTATTTTTTATTTTTATTTTTTTATTTTTTTTTTTTTGCTCAGCTAAATCTTCTTTCAGAATATTTCTCACTTGATAGGCACAAATACAATTAGAAATAAAGATTATTGTAATAAATAAAAGGTGGTTATTACACGAGCCATACAATCCCTATGTTGTTGATCAAAAGTTAGAGTAGCTGTGTTTGTTGGATCTGTTGTTTTATGGTGTTTTGTGACACCGAGGTGTCATCTGTCACTAAACTTTGAGCTTAAATAATTAATAAACCGCCGCTAAATAAATAATTTAAACAATCCCTCTGATCAGTAGCGGCAAAGGGGAAAAATACCGACCGATTTGGACCAATCAGAGGCAGGGATCCCTCACTCCTGCTGCGTTCTATCCAATCACAGCAGCGCTTCCTCCATTTCCTGTTGTGGGCTCGGAGTTGGACAGGACGGGACAATTCTCTGGTCCGCAATATTAAATAAATGCTGCTCTGTGGGTGAACGCAGACGACGCCAGATTTTTTATTGGTATGTTTTATTCATTTATTTATTTTTGCGCCAAAGGTGGGTCATCCATGAGCATACGTGAGTAAAAGCTTAGTGCTTTTAGGTCTATCCCTGCAGGTTAGGCCATCTGTCTGCAGCCACTGAAGATGTGAACTGCTTATAACCTTCTTTGCAGCATTTCTATCCTGACTGTACATCTTAGCGTGACACCTCTCTGCTTGGTGCTGTTAGACATTACTACTGAATGTGTTGTAGGATGGGTGACAGAGATGGCAGCATCTGCTGTCGCACCTGATGACATGACGCTGTTGGTATTTCCCATGACAACCGCCTGTCGGATCTAGTGAATATACAGGTAGGCTTCTTTTTGACATCCCAGACTCTACTCTATATCCCTGCTACTGTAATGTACATATGTCTAAATTCAATTTAGACAAATGCAGTGCTGCTACAATATTAACTATATTGATACTTTCAGATAAAGTTTAGTTGATGGCTTTAATAAAGTATGTGTTTACCTTTTTTTCTTTTTTTTTTAAATAGATAAATAAAGGTGCAATTGAACGCATAAGGCCAGCTTTGCTGTGCTGATTGTTACTGCCGTAGCGGATTAGTGTCAGTAGTCAAGCAACTGTCAAGAGCGCCAGTCAAAATAAAGGCATAACTTCCGGTCATGAGTTTCAAAATAAAACAAAATGGTTTTGTCTATTCACTTGGCTGAAAAACAAAATAATAATAACAATTATTATTATCATTATTATTATTTTTGTTGTTAATTTTTATTATTATTATCATCATTTAGTTACACACAGAGGAAATAGTTTAGACATTTTATTAATTGTTCAGGGTGGCGCAGTGGGTAGCACTGCTGCCTTGCAGCAAGAAGGTTCTGGGTTTGATTCCCGGCCAGGGTCTTTCTGCATGGAGTTTGCATGTTCTCCCTGAGCATGTGTAGGTTCTCTCCAGGTACTCCAGCTTCCTCCCACAGTCCAAAAACATGACTGTTAGGTTAATTGGCTTCTCTAAATTCTCCTTAGGTGTGAGTGTGTGCATGAATGGTTGTTTGTCCTGTTTTTCTCTGTGTTGCCCTTCAATGGACTGGCGACCTGTCCAGGGTGTACCCCGCCTCTCACCCATAGACAGCTGGAGATGGTACCAGCAATCTCACAACCCTGCTTGGGATAACCATGATGGAAAATGGATGGATGGATTTTCCGTCAATCATTTACAAGATCTTTTTAAAATGCTAGTTTTTCCCCAAGAAAGCTTCAATGTACTTAAAATAAAAGCCTGTCCTAAAGCTTGCTCTTTTTTCAAACACAGTGCTTTTAAAAGGCACTTATAGCATTGAAAGTTTTTCATTTGTTTGTTCTTGTTTTTTTATATTTTTACATTTTGCCCATTGTAACCAACAGTTGTAATGTTTTTCCTGTAACTTTTTAGCCTTACCAACACTTCAGATTTAGACAACTTTGATTGTCATTTTGTAACCACAGAGTGTATACAAAACTAAATGTTGTTTTGCTAAGCGTTCATGACATTTCCATTTCTTAAAATGAAGCAGTGATCAAATGTAAACAGTGTGGGAGAAAAAAAACATGGTGCAAAAAACACATTGAAATGGAACTTCAGAGCATTAAATATATATAACGCAAATATGCAGTGTTTTGGGGACACGCAGCACTGAGATGAAATGTCTTTTATGGAGGGAAGAGGAGCCCCGATGATCTTCCCTGCTGTTCTCACCACTCTCCTCACGTTCTTCCAGTCTGCAGTGTTGCAGTCTCCACACCACACAGCTGGTCAGAACACTCTCTATGGTGCTTCTGTAGGAGGTTGTGAGGATGGCTGGGGGCAGGTGGGCTGTCTCATGGCTTTTGTTCCCTTTTTTTTAATAGGATGATAGTGTTGATAGCTGAGCTGAAGTCCAGGAACAGCATCCGCACGTTGATGTTCTTCTCCTCTAGGTGTGCCAGGCACAGGTGAAGAGCAGCAGACATGGCATCCTCAGTGGAGAGGTAGCAAGGATGTGTTCTTTAACCAGCCTTCTGAAGCAGTTCATCATGATAGGAGTCAGTGCAACAGGCCGGTAGTCATTGAGTAAGGTGAGCTGAGGCCCCTTTGGGACCGGAATGATGGCGGCAGATTTAAAGCATGTCCAGCGAGGTGTTAAAAATGTCACCAGCCAGCTGACCTGTACACTTCTTGTACACCCGCCCAGGTATGTTATCAGGGCCTGGGGCCTTTCTTGGGTTGACTCTCCTCAGAGTTTACCTCACTTTAGCTTTGTCATGGTTGAGTGCTTCCTCTCTGGAGTTGAACCGCATTCACTGCTGGAGTGCTGTCTAGTGCCTCAAACCTTCCAAAGAAGTTGTTTAGTTTATTTAAGAAGTCATTTGCTACATCTACTGGAGGGGGGGAGATGTACACTGTATGCCTTGGCACATCCTCCTGGTGTCGCTGGCATCATGGAGAGATCCTGGATCTTCTGGCTGTGGGTCTGCTTTGCTGATTTGATGGCCTATTCAAATTGGCATGTGCTGTCCTCGGTGCCTCTTTATCACCAGACTTGAAAGCTGAGTTCTGTGTTTTTAGCGATTTCTGAACCTCCCCATTCAGCCAGGGTCATTGGTTTGCCCAGGTGGTGATGTTTTTTTTATATGCTGACATCTACAATGCATTTGTTGATGTAGGCTGATAGAGTCATGAGATACTCATCTATAATTATTTTGTCGTCATAGGTTGCTGCAACTTTGAACATGTTCCAGTCAGAGCATTCAAAACAATCCTGAAGTTTCCCCATGGCCCCCTCAGACCACACTCTGACTTCTTTAACTGTTGGTTTAGCCCTGATTAGCTGAGGACTGTATGCAGGAATTAGCATGACAGAAAAGTGATCTTTAGACTTAGACTTAGACAGACTTTATTTGATGACCCGAGGTGGGGGCGAGGAGCTGCTCTGAATGCACTTCCAGGTGGAAGCACAATTATGCAATGTTTAATGCACTCTGAGCTGTCACATTAATTGTTGTTCACCTCCCATTAATCTGACTAATAAAATCCAGTGTCATTCAATCTCAGTATTGTTCGAGACTAATACAGCAGACTGGTTGGGTATGAAGGTGTGGAGAACAAAGATTAAAGCAGGTTTATTTAAAAAAACAAAACAAACAAAACAACAACCAGGCTTTAAGCAATACATCGCAGAACAACTGCCAACCTACTTAGACATTTAACCAAAACTAACAGCAGCTCAGATGGACAAACCCTTTTATTGGACAACAGCTTTAGAACTGACAAATCTGTCCTCTATGGAAGAACAGCTGGAAGGCAACTGTAAGAAGTCCCTTTTGCACACATAAATACACATGGTGGAAGGTTTATAAAAAAAAAAGAAAAAATCACGAAATGCAAGTTAATGTTTTTGTTTAGAAGTGTTCATGGGATGGGAAAAAAACTAAAGGCCTAGATAGATGGTTGGAGGCAGCAAGAATGTGGATAAATGGAAGATTGTTAACCTTTCAGCAGCAAAGCAAGGCTAACTATATAGCTGGAGCCTCAATGAAGTGGTTTCAAGGGAAGCATAAAGTATGCATGGATGAGACTTATGCAGCAAAGTCTGCAAGACCTAAACCCATTAAAGAATCTGTGGGCAAACATGGAAAATGTCAAAAGCCTTGTTTACTTTACAAAATCGTAGGAACAGGAGTTTTCATCTCTAAAGCTGAAAAAGACAGGAACAAAGTCAATTTTTTTTGTTTAAAGTTTTCAGTTTTTTCCACTGCAAGAAGGCCTTTATATCTGTGTCAGCATTTTGTGATGTTCTTAAACAAACATAAAGATGCTTCCAGAACATCAGTCTCAGAATAAAGTCAGCATTTCTTTTATCAATCTGCATAAGTTGGTGCAGAGCATGTAAAATAGTATTTTGCTGAACACATCAACCAAGTTCAGAGAACCTAGAGTCGCTCCATGGGTTGATGAAGGCAGGCTATTTTAAGAAAGGTAGTAAAAAGGTTTGCTGCTTTAATTCAGTATGTAACACTGTGGAAGCTAAATTATGCTACTGAACGTGCAATTTTCTACTTTTTGTTCTGGATGTATTTATATATTAAATTGAAAATGAAAGGATAGCACTTCTACAGTAAACAAGGTTTAAATTTATTAAAATGTAATGCAATTTCAGTAAACTATTGGTAGCTACTCTGTACTGCATATAAAACAAAGAGATAATACATTAATGTCAAGCACTCTTAAAAAAAAAGCAAGAGAAATTGCCACTGTATGTGAAATTTAAAGATCTTGCTCACATCATTTTTCCAGTTTTTGCGGACAAGTTTTAATTAAACAGTTCTAGGTGAGTGTGTACCTCACAGCCACCCCTTTTTGTCACCAAATCATCAAGCTTTAATTACGCAGCCCTATAATATGTAGCGGATAGAGATGAATTCTGTCCTCTGTCTCTGTTAGGAGTCACCATGCCTATAACACTGCTGTGGGCTGTGGATGTGTATGGCAGAGTGTACAGCCTCTCCACAGCCGGGCAGCGCTGGGTCCGCGCTGATGACATGCTGCTGGAGCTGAAGCGCGTCACTGCAAGCAAGGAGCGCTGCTGGGGCATCGGCTGTGATCACCACATCTATCTGAACATAATGCCCAGTGAGACTTCCATCCGCTACCGGGAGGAGACCTATGAGAACCAGGTCAGATAAAAACAAAACTCCGATTCTGAATAATGATCATTTTTACAATATTCCTTTGTTTGTTTTTATGGTCAGCGGTGGAACCCAGTGGATGGTTTCACTGACGTGCTGCTTCCCACCGACCGCTGGCCCTGGAGCGATGTCACAGGGATGAACCCGCAGCCGCTCAACAGCTTCCAGCTGCCGTCTCGAAGCTGGGAGTGGGAAGGCGACTGGTATGTGGATCAGAGCTGTGGAGAACCTGGTCAGACAGGGGTGAGAACTACATCAGGCCCTGCATCATCATTTCATTTTCTCACACCATTTATTCAGTTTCTTTCCTTTAAAGAATTTTCAGCACCAAGCACTTTATTCCTCTCATTCTGTAGGGCTGGGAGTATGCAGTCGACTTCCCAGCAAACTTCTCACCAGACAAGAAGTGGAACTCCTGTGTCCGTCGTAGACGATGGATCCGTTACAGAAGATACACAGCACAAGGAACTTGGGCAAAGGTTTGCCAAGCCCTACAGACTTTCTATTTCTGTATTGTACAACTCCCAAGAATTTTGGGTTAAATAATTTTTTTACAACCCCAAAACACAGTTAAGAATCTTTTTTACATTACAAATATCACTTAACCTGACTAAGCAGTTTCAAACCTAAAAGAGAATCTAAGATTCCCAAGCTTCGATCTTCCCTATTTTATTTAATAGACCCGCACATTGCAATGTAATTATGCAAAGAAAAATGGTTTACGGTTTTGATACCTTTGTGTTCATCTCCCACTTGAATCAGTACTCAGAAGAAGCACATTCTAGTGGAATTAAATCTGCGTCTTTTAGAAGGACTTTTTCATACTTTCAAATGTTTAAAAATTTAATTTTGGCCTAGTCTCCTGCTAATATAGTGAAAAGGTCCACAGCGTGTTTTGGACCGGTGTCCAGCTAAGAGTTCAACATTCACCCATATTTAGAGTCATTTGCAGCCTTGAAAGCCTTGTAACATTAAGATCTCCCAAATAGTGAATCTTTGCAGTTAATGACCTTTTGTTTTTTTCTCTGATTAAGGCTGTCAACTAACAATAAAATGCATAGATGTTTTTGTTGTAGGATGACAAAATGAAAAAGGCAAGTGAGATTATATGCCGATTGTAGCTATTATTGCCAGTACGTAAACATCATTATTGAAAACTTTAAAGCATCAGTTTCCAGAGTGTCACCATAGTACTTACCTAATGATAGATGATTCTTTTTGCTCTCTGTATACTTGGACAAAATCTCCAAGGTGATCCAAACTCAAAGTTATTGTGAGGTGTAAAACAGTAGCTGCTTTGTCTTTGCAGATCCCGCTGGATAATCCCAGGAAGCCCCCCCTGCCGCTCTGTGACATCAGCTGTGGTGGCTGGGAGATGAGCGACCAATCAGGGAGGTATCCATACCTCTGGGGTGTGACCCAGCAGGGGCAGGTTAGTCAGAAAGTCAGAACAAATCTTTGATCTTTCTGGTACAAACCGATACTTTCTCTCAAATTTAAGGGCAGCAATTGGGATTTCTATAAAGCGTATAATATACACATTGCATCCACATCACATCCTCCACGGGAAACCCATATCCACACTGGTAACTTTTTGTTATTTACAATGATTTGCAATATTTTCTCAGTTATCTCTGCCAAGGAGGTTATGTTCTCAACTGTGTTTGTTTTTATGTCTGTTATCTCTTTTCGAAATAACTAAAAAACAATTTTCAGTATAACAGTAAATGCTTGCTATACACAATTAATATACTGTAAAAGCTTCTCTAAATAAAAAAAATTCCGTGTATACAGGTATTAACTTGAGGTGGAGGTCAATATGTGAGCTACTCCATGGAGGGTTGCACTTTCTAAAGACTTTTCTGGTTTTTATATCAGCACATCCAGTTTTAAGTGAATTAAATCACTTTTATGAACATCTATGTCCACTAGATGGCAGCACAGCTTTATAAAATACAGCAAACAAAACTGAAAGGTTTTCTGACCCAGTTATTAAGATAGTTTAAGCGCTTAATGTATCGATTTAGTTTAATTAAAAACTTAATATTCTATAATGCAAGCCACATTTGTTTTTAGAGTTATAACCTGAGATTATACTGTTATGTGTGAATGCTGCTTTTTAAATGATGAATGGACATCATGTTCATCTAATCTTTTTGCTGTACAGGTTTGGTTCAGGGAGGGGATCCATCCCCGTGTGCCAGAGGGCACCAGCTGGGAGGAGGTGGAAGTACCCAAAGAGGTGGCACAGTTATCAGCCGGCCCCGGGGATCTACTGTGGGCTTTACTGTGGGATGGAAACCTGCTGGTTCGTACAGGCCTCAGTCTGGACAGCCCAACAGGTCAGCATCACTGTGCCACACTGTCCATCCCTAGTCCTTATCTTTCCCCCTGTGTTTCCACGTTACTGTCCTATCATCTTAGAAATATTAATTTCAGCTGTTACATGTATGAATTATGTAGCTTATTCTTTTAAATTTATGTTGACCCAGAACGTTTCAGATTATTACGGAGCATTTTTTTTTTTCCAGGTACCTCTTGGTTGGAGGTAGACTCACCCTCAAAGGAGGTGGAAGCTCTTCATGTGGCAGTTGGAGTCAGTGTTGTGTGGGTGGTAACAAAAGACTATAAGGTAAACCTGTGATTACATGAATGTTAGTAACTCACCTGTTTGCTACATGTCTGGACCTGATGGCCTGCGTGTGTCCAGGTGTGGTTCAGGCGCGGCGTAAACTCCCACAACCCCTGTGGGTCTGGCTGGATCAGTATCGGGGGGGAGATGATGATGGTGGATGTGGGACTCAATGATCAGGTCAGAGGTGATTTTTATGCAGTTGTCGCACTTGTCATATTATAACCTCAAACCTGAGGGTATGTCATTAGACTAGACTTAGATTTATTTGGTCATTTTGTATGTATACGAGTGTAAACAAAAAGAGTTTCGTTTAAAAAAGCTCTAGACAATTACTTTTTTTAAGTGCAACCTTGAAAACAGTAATAAATACATTTAAAAAAGTAATACAAACATATGACTGTATATTCATAGTTCTAACATTATTTTTTGTTATTTTTTATAAATAAAAATTAGAAGTTAATGTGAGAGACAAATGCAAAAACACCAATATATCTTTTTTTTTTTTTACAAATAAAAAATTATTTCCCTTTATTCTGTTATTAAATAAGATAACCACTGATTTATTCTCAGAGGAACAGACCAGAATTGGTTCATAAAGCTTAAAGTCAAGGCTAACACACATGCTTTACAGCTGAAGGACATCAACTTTATAAAAGAAGAAAGAGTTGGAGCTCACTGATCAGTCTTCCTCAAAAGCTTAAGCTGAGCAGGGGTCAGAGGGGTTCTGATTAAACCAAATATACCTTTATGATCTATATAAAAAAGATCTATTTGTGGCTAACGAGGCCCATGAGCTTGAATAAGCTATACCCTCAGTAAAACAGGGAGTTGGCAGTATCAGGCTGTGGGGATGCAGCTCTTTGCAGGGAAGGGTTGATGGGTTTTTTTCCCCCTAGCATTTTATTGTCATTACACTGTCACAAGTACAAGTACAGTACAGTTTACTCTCCGCATGTAACCCATCCCCTTGGGGAGCAGTGGGCTGCCATTTGCGCCCAGGGAACAGTGTGTCTTCACTCAGGGTGGCAGTCTGTGGGAGCCTCAGGATACTGAGCTCCGTGCCCTAACCACTAGGCCACCACTCCCCCAGCAGTGATGGGGACATGGATGGAGCTCAACGTTGAAAAAGTCTGCTAGAAAAGCTGCTTTAGTAGTGTGCCACATTTTCACCATCTTTTTTCAAACTCAGAGACCCTCTTTTGCAAAGAAGAATGGCAAAATTAATGCAAAACTCTATTTTTGGATGTAGATAGGAGAGTCAAATAACAGAAGACGTCTGTGGCTTCTAATTGCAGCGAAATATGGTTCTAAAGAATAAAAACACATGAGCCAAAATTAAGACTTCTATGAACATTTTGGAAACATTTTTCCTTTTTACTATCATTTATAATTATGACCCACTTTGTGTTTATCTGCCAAATTAAACCCTAACTGACTACATTGAGGTTTTTGATTAACATATGAAACCAAACTTTGTTGCAGCTCTTGTGTGTCTGTTCTTTATGGCTCCAGGGCTAGTATAGAGGATGAATCTGTCTATGAAATTATATACATATATAATGTAACCCTGTAGGTTTATTAAAACCTGTCCATTTCCAAACTGAACTGTGTTTTTAGCTGCTGTCTGCTGCCTGATCAATCTCGCCCTTTGCATGGATCTGGTTTCAGGACAGATCAGGAGCAGAAACTGTTCGCTCCATGTCTCACTGCTGAAGACTTTGCTTGCGCTGCAAACCCGTACCTCACACCTCCTCCTCCCAGCTCTGTCTGCCCTCCTCCTGCCTACCCTCATTCCAACCCCCTCTGTCCCCCGGCCTGTCAGCAGAGCTGTAACACGAGTACAGCCTCCCGCTCTGCCCAGTGTCCCCTCCAGCAGTTGCACCTCAGGGTCCAGCCTTAAATATCTCCCGACTGTATTCCCACTGGCCTTTCATATGGGAGACTCCCTAATTAGAAGCTGGCCAAGGCATCGTCATCATATCCCATATTTCATGTTCCAGGGTTGCAGTTATGGGAGCTGCTTTAGGAGCAAGAGTTACTGTATACAGCCTTATAAAGTAACAGCTGCTCTGATTGGTCTTTAAAGAACAAAATGTAGCTTTGATGGATCGCATATTTCGGGATTACTGGGGGTAAATTACATGAAAAGTTCAATAAATGCACAAAGCTACTTCCCCACCCTGGCTGTTCACCAATGTTCTTCCACATAGATTTCTCCTTGTCTCTGTCTGTTAGGTGTGGGCCGTTGGTGAGGATCGCGGGGTGTATTTTAGGATGGGTGTGACGCAGTCTGAGCCAAGTGGAAATGGCTGGATCCCTGTTTCAGCCCAGTGGGGGAGCAATAAAGACCTTATTCCACCCAGGTCTGTAGAGAAACATCAGCCAAGTCTTTAATAACTCCTACCTGACTTTAATCAACCACTTTATTACCATCTTTGTGCTTTTTTAATAAGGGATGAGTGTGAAATAAGTGGCCAGCTGACTGAGGCCTCACAAGGCTCTGCCCTAAGTGGAACAGATTCAGACTCGGAGTTGGGTCCTACTAATTCAGAGCACAGTGCTACTCCTATACTGGAGGCAGCAGCTCCCTCTATTGTTCCTTTGGGGGGAACCGAGTCATCTGCTCCTCCTCAGGAGCTGAAAGAAGCCTCCTCGAACCCTCAACAAGATGCTCCGAAAGCCTTCATCCCAGCCAGCGACAGCTTCATCAACAGCTTGGTCTCTGACCGAGACAGAACATCCACTATGCAGCCATCCATCACAGAGATGTTGCAGGAAGAGAGTGTGGAACAGCCGCCAGCTCCGCTCCTCCCCACCCTTCCAACCAGAGGGCACGATGTCCCCTTTATGAACGTGGATCTAGAAGGGGCAGAAGCAGCTCGGGGTGCACAGACAGCAGGGCGTCTGCTGAACGATGTCCTTGGAAGTCTGGAGAACTCGCAGGGCATCGGGGAGGAGGACGGACCAGTGTGGACATGGGTTTCTGGTGGAGGATGTGATGTGGATGCAAGTTCACACATCAGCTGGCTCAGTCCTACAGGTATATGGACAGCCAGTGTCTGAAGCTGTGTAACGGAGGGGTGCTAACGGAAATAATTTTTGTCTGATTTGATGAAATTTTCACAAATAAGCAAAACAGGAAATATACACACATTCAAACATCCCCCCAAATTAAAATGCTTTAGAAAACATTCTAATTTTTCCAGAACTTTAAACCTCACAATGGGATTTTATTAACCTGACAACAGCCAGATGCATGTCTGGTTAGGATTTTATGCCATAGAAAGTGAAACAACTGAAGGATAAATTAAAAAAGGAACATTTTCAGCTCTTCAACTTTCATTTTAATGCCTCTATATACATTCCAAATCAACCAAAAACTTAGTAAAACCTTGTTTTAAGTGAAATATAGTGAGGAAAAGTAATAACACTGTGCTATTTTGCAAGTTCTCCCACCCAAATCATGGAGGAGTCTGAAATTGTCATTGTATGCATCTCCACTGTGAGACAATCTAAAAAAAAAATCCAGAAATCACAATGTATGATGAATAGTTCCGTAACTATTTATTTGTATGATATAGCTGCAAATAAGTATTTGAACACCTGAGGAAATCAATGTAAATATTTGCAATTACAGAGGTAAAATATTTCCTTTAATCTTTCGCCAGGTTTGCACTCACTGCAGGAGGGATTTTGGCCCACTCTTCCACACAGATCTTCTCTAGATCAGTCAGGTTTCTGGGCTGCCGCTGAGAAACATGGAGTTTGAGCTCCCTCCAAAGATTTTCTAGTAGGTTTAGGTCTGGAGACTGGCTAGGCCACACCAGAACCATGATATTCTCCTTTCAGAGCCAGAGCCAGGTAATTGTCATGTTGGAAGATCCAGCCTCAACCCATCTCTAATGCTCTAACTGAGGGAAGGAGGTTGTTCCCCAAAATCTCACAATACATGGCCCCGGTCATCTTCTCCTTAATACAGTGCAGTCACCCTGTCCCATGTGCAGAAAAACACCCCAAAGGGTGATGCTACCACCTCCATGCTTCACAGTAGGGGTGGTGTTCTTGGGATGGTACTCATCATTCTTCTTCCTTCAAACATGTTTAGTGGAATTATGACCAAAAAGTTCTATTTTAATCTCATCTGACCACATTACTTTCTCCCATGACTCCTCTGGATCATCTAAATGGTCAATGACAAACTTAAGAAGGGCCTTGACATGTGCTGGTTTAAGCAGGGGAACCTTCTGTGCTATGCATGATTTCAAACCATGACTTCTTAGTGTACTAGTAACCTTGGAAACGGTGGTCCGAGCTTTTTTCAGGTCATTGACCAGCTCCTCGCGTGTAGTTCTGGGCTGATTTCTCACCTTTCTTAGGATCATAGAGACCCCAGCAGTGAGATCTTGCATGGAGTCCCAGTCCGAGGGAGATTGACTGTCATGTTTAGCCTCTCCCATTTTCTGATAATTGCTCCAACAGGGGACCTTTTTTTCAGAAAGCTGCTTGGCAATTTCCCTGTAGCCCTTTACAGCCTTGTGGAGGTGTAAGATTTTGTCTCTAGTGTCTATGGACAGCTGTTTGGTATTGACCATGTTAGTAGTTGGATTCTTACTGGTTGTATTGGGGGGGGTTAGGTGTCTTTATGCAGCTAAATATCTAATCTAGGATAATAAATGGAGCGAAGATGGACATGTTGAAGGCAGGCAGACTAACAGGTCATTGAGGGTCAGAATTCTAGCTGATAGGTGTTCAAATACTTATTTGCAGCTGTATAAATAGTTAAAAAAATCATATATTGTGATTACAGGATTTATTTTTAGATTATATCTCTCACAGTGGACATGCCCCTATGATGACAATTTCAGACAATTTCATGGTTTCTAAGTGGGAGAACTTGCAAAAGAGCAGGGTGTTCAAATACTTATTTTCCTTACTGTAAAAAGAAAAAAAATGAAACCATATTTTTGTTGTTCAAATACAACAATAACAAAAACAGTTTGTTTGCAGAACATGTTGTTTCGTTCTTGACTGAAGATTTATAGGCCAGAGCTTAGAGACTTAAAAAAACACACACACTGATCTGAAATTGGAATAGACAGTAAAAGATGATAGAAAACATAGTCGGTGATATAAAAAGATATTTGAAAGACCTTCGAATTGTTTGAAAAACTAGAGATTGAGACCGGTTTTGAAGTTTTATAGGAACGCCTGCCTGTCTGGATGGAAAAGAGAAAAAAATAGGAGATGACTAAACAGTAGTATTGTTAAAGGCAGCTTTATTTGAGTCTTCATACCTTTATGTTTGTGTGCCAGGTCCTCTCTCCAGTTCCCTGTCTCTGACTCCGGTCCAATCAGCAGCCTGGAGCGAGCAGCCCCAGCAACAGGAACATCAAGAGATCACCAGGAAACCTTTGGAGAGGAGCAATGTTAGTAAAATCAAGCCTGTCCTCAATTCTACCCGACGGTGAAAAGCATCTAATTTTTTGTCCCCTTTCCTGACCAGTCTGTGTGGGTGCGTAAAGGTGCGTTGCGCTGGTGGAGAGACTGGAAGCCGCAGCGCTGGGTGGATGTAGGCGTTGCTCTTGAGCAATCCACCAGGTTGGATGGGAGGAAGGACAGCATCTTCTTTGTCTATTACACTCAATATGATGAGAAAAAGGTTGGTTTGCATGTCCTGAATTTGGATATTTGGAAAAGCAGCAAAAAAAAAAAAAAGACAAGAAGTACTAAATATGTAAATACTGACAAATTGTTGCGTGTTTAGCACCTTCAGGTGTTCATAAATGAAGTGACGGCGCTGGTACCGGTTCTGCAGGATTGCCACTACACTTTTGCAGTTTACACAGCTGAAAGAACCAAACAAAGATGGCCGCTGGTCTTGGCAGCACCATCAGAGAAGGAAATGAATGACTGGGTAAGATATTTGTCTTTATTCATGAATTGGTGTAGAAAATGGGATGTTTTCGCTAATGCAACGTATCTCTGGTCTACCACCTTTCTTTTATGGAACAACAGCTTGAACTGTTGTCAGAGTGTTGCTGCAAGTGCAGAGGTATTGCTGGGGCTCCATCCACGCAGGCGCTGTGGTCCATCACCTCCAAGGGAGACATCATGGTGCATGAGCCGTCCCTGTCCCTGGAGGCTTCGGCTCACGCTATGGCCTGCGACCTAATGTGAGCCTGATAACAAAGACGGAATTTTAATGCTCTTGCTTTGCCTCCTGAATTGTATTTTAATTTTTTGTATCTTGTATGCTAACTCCTGTGGCTAACACTGGGTGCTTCCACCTGTACACTGCTGCAGGTTTTGGCGGCAGATCCCGGGCCACTTGCGCTGCATAGAGTCGAACAGTCTGGGGCTGGTGTGGGGCATCGGGTGGGATGGCACTGCTTGGGTCTACAGCGGGAGCTTTGGACAGGAGTCCAGTCAGGGTAACACATGTCCTGCATGCAGAATGGGCTTCTTCTGTCCCCTTAATGGGGATTGCTGTAGCGTGGTGTGGTTCCAGCTTCAGTGGACGTAATAAGACTAAAGCATCCTTAACATGTCATCTGGGTTTTTGTTTTAGTCAACCATGAGATGAACTTGCAGACTGATGTCAGGAGTATACATGTGTATGAGAATCAGCGTTGGAACCCAATGACTGGTTATACTGACAAGTAGGCCTCCCACATTTTACACACAATTATGGTTATTTACCTGTTAGATTACACACCAATGGATTTCAAAGAACACGAAGAAATATTGTGGAATCTTTTGTGATCCAACAGAGGACTTCCTACCGATCGCCCCATGTGGAGTGATGAGACCGGGCTGATGGAGTGCACCAAAGGCAATACGCACCCCCCCTCCCCTCAGTGGTCCTGGGTAAGAAGTCTCCTGAAATAAGGGTCCCTTTCTGGGAAAGGCTTAAGAGCTTTGGGATTTGATAAAGTATTTTCCATATCAGGACAGGTATGGAAGAAAAATAGAAAAATCACAGTATTTCAATCCATTCATCCAAAGTCTTTTTTTTAGGTTTCACACTTCAATTCTGAGTACTGTAGAAATATGTCATAAATTCCCACTGAATATTTGTTTGGATTCTTGCATTGGAAAATTTGCCATAGACCCATGTAGTGAATGAATGCTTTTTGTGTCCTGTTGTGAACTGCTTTTTTTAGGTGTCAGAGTGGGCTGTGGATTTTAGTGTTCCTGGAGGAACAGACAAAGAAGGCTGGCAGTACGCTGCAGACTTTCCAACGTATGAAGAATCTGCTTCTTCAAATGTTTTTTTTTGTGTGTGTTTAATGAAAAAGTTATCAACCCATTTGTCTGATTTATTTCTTCCCTACAGGACATTTCATGGCCACAAAACAATGAAAGACTTTGTGAGGCGCCGAAGATGGACGAGGTAAACTCACCTCCCCTCCTCCAGCTTGTAGCCCTGTTTCCACTAAAGCATTAACAGAGACCTGTTCTAATACAGGAGGTGCAAAATAACAGTGAGGGGTCCATGGAAGATGGTGCCACCGATCCATCTAAGCGACATTTCTCTGATGCCGTGTCTGGCCCAGAGCAAAATGGAGCATGTCCCTGTGTGGGCCCTCAATGACAAGGGAGATGTCCTGTGTCGCCTGGGAGTGAGCCCCCAGAACCCTGCGGTGAGAAATCTGTATTTTTAGACCATGCCCCGCAAAAAATATCCTCTATAAAGAATAGATTGTGGGTCAAAAATCTTGGGCACCATTTGAAAGTATTTGTATCCCACAGGGTAGCTCCTGGCTCCATGTTGGCACAGATCAGCCCTTTAAGTCCATCTCCATCGGAGGAGCTAATCAGGTGTGGGCCATCACTAGGGATGGGGCTGTGTTCTACAGAGGATCTGTGTCTCCACAAAACCCTGCAGGTCAGCATTTGGAAGTTAGCCTGTTAGTTAAGATGAAACCACATTAAAAGAAACAGAATGACGATTTATTTAAATCATCTATTTCAGAAGCTTTTATTTCTCTGTAGGGGAATGCTGGTACCACATACCCTCTCCTCCCAGGCAGAACCTCAGACAGCTCTCAGTTGGCCGCACATCTGTCTTTGCTGTAGATGAAAGCAGTGAGTTTCATTAAGTTTTCTTTCCTTTGTGTCCTTAAAGTAAAAATCAAATGTAATTGAACCTGATTTCTTTCAGGTAATCTGTGGTACAGACAGGGCCTCACGCCCAGCTATCCTCAGGGCTCTGCATGGGAGCTCATCTCCAACAACGTCAGCAAGGTGTCTGTAGGGCCCCTGGACCAGGTAGGTGTTAGTACCTAGTTTGGCCAAAAAACTGATAGTGAAAACGTCCTGAAGATCATTATTTACATTTTAATTATAATGCCAGTTTGCATCCTGTTTTGCACATGCTCAAACTGAGATAAACAGTTTCTGCTACATTTTAAATATTTAGAATATATATTACCTACAGGATGTCAACAACAGCTTAATCCTGGTCCAACGGCAACAGTTTGATATTTCACTTTTTCTTTTAGGTTTGGATCATTGCAGACAGAGTTCCAGGATTTCCTACTGAACCCCCCGGGGCCGTCTGCCACAGGATGGGTGTTGGACCAATGCAGCCCAAGGGCCTTTCCTGGGACTATGGGATAGGAGTGAGTTGAGCTTTTTTTTTTTTTTTTTTTTTACCCTCATATTTGAAATCAAACTTTTATTTTTTACTTTCTTGTAAAAGTATTTCACATGTTTTTCTTGTCACCATTCTAAATAATTTGTACTAAACAGATTTATTCTAAGGGATATAACAACACACAATATGTCATAATCTATTCTATAGCTTTTACTTGGATACCCCAAAATAAAGTAGTATATCAACAGGACTGCTGGTCTGGATCTTTAGAAACATTTATGGAAGAGAGACAAGAAAGAAGCAAAAATACATTCTTTTTGTAGTTTTCCAAATGCCAATTCGTTAAAAGAAAAGCCCTCTGGTTGAATCAGTTTCTAAACCTTGTTGATCCGTGTGTAAAGTGCTGTGTTTGGATAAAAAATATAACAATGAATAGACTATCCCCATGGTGAATCATGGTGGTGGCAGCATCATGCTGGACAGATGGAGGGACAGCTAGAGTTGGTGAAAATATGGAGGGAAACCTGTTAGAAGCTGCAACAAACTGTAGATACAGCAGGGGAGAGAGGGGATTGAGGTAGTTATTTGTAAAAGATTAATACCATTTACCTTGTTAAAGTTGGTCTGTCAATAAGGAACTCAATAAAAACATTGACATCTGCTGTTGTCAAGAAGTATGCAAACAAGAAAGAAATTAAGATTGGTAGAATGGTTCGTAAAATAATCCAGTCTTTGTCTTCCAGGGAGGATGGGAGCACATCAGTGTGAGAGGAAACTCAGCAGAGCCCCTTCGGGTCCCTCACCTTCCTCCTAGCGGCCCCCCGCGCAGCCCGGCCCTCCAACGCCCTGCGACCCAAGTGAACGGGAGTGCTGTGTGTGTGTAGCGTTCCCACTGTCCCTCCTAAGAGCCCCTAGCCCCCTTTGTGCCTGGAGATGCAGTCGTTTCCTCGGACCTATATGGCATTCCTTTTACGTAAAGGGGAAGCACAACCGTAAAAACTGACTATTTTAACAAAGTATTTTGACTGGATTTGATCGATGGATGAATGTTACAGCAGGGCTGTTTTGCACAGATAGAAAACATCTCAGTATTCAGTGAGGATAGAGGAGAGAAAGCAAAAAACTAAGACAAAGTATGGCTTTCCTAATGTCCTATAATACTTTTTTCACTTTCAAAACAAAAGTAAATGCATGTTTGACCTTTGATCATGTTTTGACCACTGCAGTGAAGAAAAAGCTTGTATGGGTATTTACATCTTGCTGGGGGAAAAGAGGGAAAGATTTTAATTAAGGGCTATGCTTTGGTATCTCTGTGAACAGTGTCATTTAAATGGACTGGGTTTTAGTTCTTCTCATTTTTGTTGATTCACTTAAAGTCATTCCAAATACACTGTTAAAATGGGTTTCTTTCTGTCCTGCCCTTTGCTGTTGCAGTGTTACGACTTGCTTACAGAGCTTTTTTACTAGAGTGAAACATCTTTGTCTTTTCCACCCGGGGACACCTCAGTCCTTTTTGCAATAAATAAATGTTTCTGTTCATGCACTCCACCCCCCCTGCAGAGACGGTTGACACCACAGCAGGTGTTGGCATCATAACATGACCAGATGTGTTATAAAGAGTATTGAAATGTGAAATAAAGACAAAGTACTGTTCCATTATCCAATGTGCCTCACAGTGACAAAACAGCTGGATTTGTGCGGTTTTCCTGATTTTATGCTGATAATTTTGTTTGTTTCTTCCATGTTGCATTTTTTAACGTAATATATAAGTTAAATTAGGAGGATTGGGAATATCAGAACATAAAAATCTGATGCAATTCTTGTCAGGTATAGTGAAGGATCTTTTTCCGGGTGGATCATCAAAATAAGTGGTCCTCTTAAATATCAATCATTGTGGTGATATGTTGACGTAAGGACATCCTACGTGCTCGTCCCCATTTTCACTTAATCCAAAATTCGCATAAATCCTCCTCTATACCTTTAAGTTAGACAAGATAAGCTGTAAACTCACCAGGTAAATCCAGTCAAACATCACCTACACGTGGAAACGATTCTGCAATCTTCCTTTACTGACGCAAAAAAATATGCACCACAAAAGCCTTATTTAGAAGTCCATTTGCATTTATTTTCATATTAAACAGTGTAATTATAAACATTTCATTCAATTACACTAAGCATGATCAATATGAAGTAAAAATATTTAAAATCTACAGGTTTAAAGGACAGAATGAATTCACATCTGCTTCCGCGTCTTAATTTAACCGCTTTTAGTGGACGACTGATATGTTCCTCTGATTTTACTCAGCTTTAAGTTACAAAATGAAACTCCCTACCGATCAACTCGGTTATTACAGCTTTTTTTTGTACCCGCCCCAATTTACAAACAGAAAAATAACACAGAATCCATATATACACATTAGAACATCTCAACATTAAGTTACATTTTTCAAATGTGCAAGATTAAGCAAATGTATACTGTGGTCAAATAAAATTTCCTTAAATAGGTGTTCAAGTTTAACTGAGGAGCAGGCTGCTGTTTTTAGTGGTCGATATGGTGTCAACAGAGAGGTGGGGGATCTACAACAGGTGAAGTATAGCCAGTGAGAAGTTCTTAAAGTGGTTTTATCATCCAAAGAAAGCTCATTACAGCAGAAGATGATTAGTTAGTATTGAGCTATGCAATACAGGAAGTGATATACAAAATATGGTCGGCAAAGAAGGCTTTTAAAAGTTTCCATATTTGATACAACAAATAAAAAAAAAAAGGCATGACACCTTCCATAACAACTTACAACAGCAGCCATAAATATTTGTAGTGTTTTTTTTTATGTTTGTTCTAATAGTGTTCCCTACACGTCACATAACCATGACCACCAGACCTTCCAATCAACACGATGAAAATTCATTGCACATTTGTTTACAAACAACTTACTTCATTGCCTTTTTCAAAATAGAGATTTCTTGCTTATCCAAAATTTTTTTTTTTTTAACAATTTGAAATATCTGTAGTGACAGTTACAGGTAGGAAGGAGGATCGCTGGATCAACAGGCACCATGATTAGACCCAGGGATGAATAATCAAGAAAAATTCCTGCAGGTTTCAATTAAAATAAAGCTTTACAAAGATCAATAATCAGGGATACGTTTCAACTGTTTGACAGCTGAACCCTGACCTCGTTAGGTCTGAGAATCAATAAAAACAATAACAACCTCAGCTTACTGCAAGTGTTCCTTACATACAGTGCGTCACCTCTACAGGTTGTTTGGTACATCTGCATTCCTCGTCCTTTTCATTCAAATACTGCTACGCAAGGATTCAACAGAATTTCATCTCCAAATAGGAGAATCACTCAACTCCAACGGAAGATAGATGAAACGAAGAAAAGGCAACCACTGTAATAATTGCACAACATGAAGGAGAGAACAACAAAGAAAGCACTGATGAATATAAAATGTTAGGTGTTTAATTGTAGTGCTGCTGAGATCAAAGAGCTTATTCTGGTTTGGTTGCAGTGATTATTGGCCAGCTCAGAATGAATTCATTGATCCAAAATATTTTCTTTTTTTTTACTTTACAGAGAGCAGGCAAGGAAAGGAAGCTGATACACACCTGGAATGTGCATGATAAGTCTATAAAGCAGCAGATTTGTCTTTTTAATTGCACTGGACTAAAAATTACACCAATACATGTGGCTCAGAGAGGGACTGGGGTTCATCCGTCTGAATATTGGGTGAAAGTCCGTTTTTAGTCTAAACGCCAATTCTTCTGAGAACGGTTCTGCCTGAGGGGAGCACTTCAAAAACCGTGTCCTCATTCCAACGTTCCCAAAAAGGACAGCTTCCTCAGTAGTGTCACCAATAATGGTTCCTTCGCTCCATGCTTTAGTCTTTTTCTCCATCCTCGCTGCTTCCTGATGGAAAGAAAAGAGGGAAAAAATAAACCTTTCAAGATGCATCTTGTTGTGATCATATATTAAATCTATGACTAACACCATTACTTCATTCATAGCCTTGGATAAGCTTCCACATAATTCCCAAATCTTTTTTTTTTGTGGTTGTTGTCTTCTAGGGGAAAAATATAACATTTTGAAGAAATTTCAAAATCAGGGAATTAAAAAAAAAAAAAAAAAAAAAAGGTAGAACCCACCACAAAATAAAACAAGAACAGGATGAAAGTGAAATGGCGGTGGAAGCAAAAAGCCAAATTGACACCGACTGCTCTATATACTGCTCTATAAAGCTTTAAAGAAAGAAAAAAGATAAAGTTTATGTAAATAAAAACACAATATAGATTTAAATGCAGTTTGAATCGATGGCTCTAATGTGGTAATGAGTTTTGTAGGCAGGAAAGGGACAGGGATGCAAAGAATGTACCAATTTACAGCATCAAATAGCTGAGGTATCTATATCATTTTTTTTTTTAAATATCACTTTAGTCTTTAAGTTTTATAAATTTGTTTTACTTTACCCCTGTTGCCCTTCTCCGTACATATAAAACATAACCCTGAGAAATGAGCAGCGGAATGATTCCTGAAACTGGAAGCTCCACTTGCCTCCTTGTTCGATGTCAGAGTCTGTGAGATGTGTAAGGGAGAAACTGGCAATGTTTGCCGGTGAGATGGAGAAACGGGAATAGGAAGAGGAGTTGCTCCAGGTCGGCTGAAGCGTGCGTCCTGCTGATGGGGGAGTAGAGGGCACAGCACCAGAAACGGGGTCTTTTTCAATCTTGGACAGGAAGGCAGGCCCAGGCGAGGAGAAGTCATCATCCCACTCAAAACCACCACCTGTGAGAATTAACCCAGCATGTCAGGACTGAAGTTTATCCATAACAATTAAAACTCTAAAGGGGCTTCTAACACTTACCCTCCTCATCGGTTGAGCTTTCAGAGTTAGGAAAGCGATTAAGGTAGCTGGCTGTGGAAACAGGACTGCCGAGCTCTGGGGACTGACTGCTCAAGCCGGACGAGTGGTCTCCCAGTTCCTTTGTTGGAGTCTCCTACAAGGTAACGTGAATACAACAATTAGGACACATTAAAAAAAGGCCTACACATTTGTTGGTTCTTCTGTAAAGAGTAAAAAAAAAAAAAAACACTTGAATTATATTTGTTTTTAGCATCACAGCTAAAATGAGTTTGTAAAAACCCCTCCCCATTACCCACATGAAAGCTTTATTAATCGTACACAATGCCGAAGCATAAAAAGGGTATGCTGTTCAACCAACAAGCAGCATTTCTTTCCCGAACTATTATCCAGCAAATAAGGATCCTATTCCCAGTGGTTAGAAGACACAGGATTCTATAGCTCATCGTATCAAACCAGGAAAACAAAGTTGTAGATAACAGATCATTTTAAAAAGTGCTTTAGTTTTAATTAGATGTTTAAGGCTAGGAATAAAAATTGGCCAACTGGTACCATAAGTAAAAAGGATTACTATTAATTATTAAAAATGAATTGTAATAGAAAGGTAGGGGAGAAAGAAATCATTACCTGGTCAAACAGGTAGACTGTAACATCATCGAAGAAGGACACAGCTCTTCTGGAGTTTTCTGCATTGTACCTCCCAGCAAATGGGGAAGACGATGCATCGATGCTCAGGTGTGTTGGTTTTAATAAGCTCTTCAGGTTTTTGCCGGTGACGTCTTCCGACACAATGATCGGCACCACGTGCACCGTGTCATCCTCGCTGTCGGAGCTGGAGCTGTGCAACGTGTACGGACGCATGTCGTCGTCAGAGTCCTCACTGTTCTCGTCCTCCTCGTCAGCATCCCCGCCATCTTCCTGTCCCTCCGATCCTGGACCATCCCGCCTGCCGAGGTAACGGCCCTCCACGTCGGGCTCTTTGATTTTATGGCCGTCGTGGGCATAGGTTCTGGTCAGTTTAGCATGAACGTTACCCTCTAGTGTTGCGTTTGAGGAGGTATCAACAGGCAGAGGGGATATTTCTAAATCTGGTAACTGGCTGGATGTTTCAGGAAAGGAGTCTTTGATCGTCTGTTTTTCAGGTTCTCTTCCATTGTGGTGAACTGAAGCATCTGCCACCCCACTTTTTAGTTCCTCTTTAATATGTGAAGTCGTCACTGGATGAAGGTCCTGGTCATCAGTTTCTACAGTTTCAGTTTCTTGCTGGCTAAATAATGCATCAATATCCTTTTCCTTGTAATCTCTCAGAGTCGGACCCTCAGGGTTCCTCGTCCATGTGTCGTCTGTAGCACTTCCTGCAGTCAACTCGTCCCCCTTCTTCTCTGGTTCAGATTCATTGTCGGAAAAGTAGGCGGAGTCTCTGTAGCTGCTGCCAGCAGGAGGTTCTTCTGCAGGGGCTACAGGCTCAGGCTGGTGATCCTCACTCCGAGTTTCTGGCACACCCTCAATCTCGGAGATGACGATTTTTGGAGGAGCCAAATTTGTGGCGACAGCATGCGCGTTTGACTCGTCGCCGTTGGAAATGCTGGTGTCAGTTTTCACAGGAGAGCAGTCTGTGACATTTGGCTGAGAATTCCATTCAGGAGACTCCAGGTTCTCCGTCTCATAGCCGCTGTCTGATATCTTGTAAGGAGGCTGAAGCTTGTTTTGGGGTATCTGAGTGCTCAGGTCCTCCGCCTGCTCCGCCAACCGATGAATGTCTAGAGAGTCGAGAGAATCCGGCGTTTCGG